AGTCTTGCAGGCGCTTATACACGTTTAACGCCGGCCGCACTGTGTTCGGCGCGATTATTCGAACTCGCGTTAGAATAATCGCGGCGTCGAAAAATAGAGCTTCAAAGGCCTATGTTGTGTTTCGACGCCGTATGAGCATTCCAACGTTGCCTCGTCACTCCCGATGAAATATTTTTTCCGAGAAAAGTTCTGAATGTTCTTTATACCCAGTTACTCACGACCATTTTTCAATCCTGTTTCATTCGGATCCGTTTCATCCGGGAAAATTTGGCAACTCTCGAATGTTCATACGGCGTTTTTCCTTAGCACGGCAGTGTTAGAGTCCACGCCAAATAATTTACGTACTTTTAGAGTGCGACAGAAGATCAGATGACTTTCGTTCAACATTGACAGTAAGCACAAAAATCGAGATGGTGGATCTGTGTTACACTCTAAAAGTGCGTAAACTCAAAGTCAAAGGAGATTTGGCAATGCTTGAAGACTCATACGGCGTTCTTCCTTAAGGTCCAGTTACACGATCAAATTGGGCCTCTCATCGGTCGCATCCTCACCTCAGATCTTTTTCCACCAATCAGAGCTTCAGTTTGATGGCTCAATTTGATCGTGTAACTGAACCTGTAGCACGGCAATCGAGATGGTGGATCTGTGTTACACTCTAAAAGTGCGTAAACTCAAAGTCAAACTCCGTCAAAGGAGATTTGGCAATGCTTGAAGGCTCATGCGGCGTTCTTCCTTGAGGTCCATTTACACGATCAAATTGAGCCATCAAATTGGGCCTCTCATTGGTCGCATCCTCACCTCAGGTCTTTTTCCACCAATCAGAGTCAGAGCTTCAGTTTGATGGCTCAATTTGATCGTGTAAACTGAACCTTTAGCACGGCAGCATTATGTCGTTGACTTGACCGCGCCGCCCGATGCGTCGATTGCGTCGCAGCTGTTCGCTGAACCGGTGCAGGTTCGAAAAATCATGGAAACTAATTGACACGGCCAGAAATTTCGCGAGTGAAAAGGCGACGGAAAGTGGGGGAATGTGACGTCAATGGAGTCTCTTTGCATAAATACGCGAATGTAAATCGGATAAACAATCAACAAGATTATCTTTTGTTTATTTTAATCGCTTGTTTATCCGAGCGTTTAATTCGGGCCCTTCCAGGTATTTTTAGGGTGTTCGATTATTGTGTTTTTTCGTGCCGAGAAAATGTCCAGGGTGTCTACAAGTCCGGAATCTCCGGAAAGTTTGGAAATAGCGTTACCGGACTACTCACCTAAACACTTTTCACCTATCGGACTTTTTGCCATAAACTGTTTACCTATGGACGTGTTACCTAAAAAGTTTCACCTACAGTCTTTATCACCGAACGTGTAGTATCGCCTAATGGCGATCCGCCTTGTGAGTACGTACGCAGCTGTATATCGACGGTGAAACTACCAAACCACGTATCTCGTTTTGCGACGTCGCAGACTTCCTGTCATACTTTATTTTTTAAATGAAAAACTACTTAACATCCAGTCTTGAAAATTTCTGTGATTTTTCCTCTTTGTGCGGAGACAATTCCGTGAAAATTTCAAGGAATGATATTGATTTGGTCTACTTCAAAAAAATAAAATGTGAGCGTAGATTTTTAAACACCGCAAACGAGATACGTGGTTTGGTAGTTTCACCGTCGATATGAAAGTGTCTTTAGGCCAAAAATACTTGGATCAAGAGTCTTAGGTGAAATGTCCAAGGTGATGTACCTCGTAGGAGACTATTCTTTAGGTGAAGAGTCCCGGAATCGGAAATAGCTCTGATTTTTTAAGTGTGGTCCGGAAGCGCTGAAAAAGTTCGGAAATTCCGCAAGAAGGTCCGGATTTTTCTCGTTTTTCCGTCATTATAACCGCAATTTGATAGAGAAACTCAAATTGTAATATTTCGAATTTCGTCAATTGGAGGTACTGAAAAAATACCGAAGTTTCTCGCTGAGGAGGCACTGAATTTCTTGGGAATGTACTGAAAAAGTATTGTAAAAGTTCTGATTTTTGGCCAGCCTGTTTTACTAGACACCCTGTTTTGGTTTATAGAGCTCTCGTGCAGTTCTCAATTCTTTCTGGCCTCGAAAGTTAGAGGCCGTCGTGTCAGGCAGTAAAACAGCGCGCCAATTCATGCCAGAAAATGCGCAAATTGCCCACCGATAATATTGACCTAGGCAAAGAGCATCTCGGTGTTAATGGTGTTAATCGTGTTCGCACTTAACTGCTGTTAAAGCTAAGCCACTTCCACTGTATACAAAAAGTTGTTAAACTTCCTTGCTCAGGAAAAGTAAAAGATTACCTATATTTTGGTCAAGCAATTTCCGCTTTATTCCGTATTCCCTTGCGTTTGAGGTGATCTAACGGTCATTATTTTTGTTTCAAGGCCTTCTTACGTAACTCGTAAGTTATGTGCACTCCGATCAGCGGTGGCAATCTCGCAAGTTGGCAAAAATGCTTTTCCTCCGTTTAAAACCTTTTAAAATATCGATTTTAGGCGAGAAGATCGATTGTTTGACATACATATAAATGGAGGAAAATCAGTGTTGCCAATTTTCAATAATTGCCACTGCCGATCAGTAAAGTATTTTCAAGTCTCAGGAGTGATTCAGAAACCTTTAGTCTCGAAATTCAAGAGGCGACAAAAGTATGACGTAATTTTTGTCCTGTTATTTTTTTTTAAATATAAAATTTTACATGTTTTTAAATTTATAATTTACTATGTGTCAGGATCAGGAACTATCAATTTCTAAGTAGATGTCTTCAAGAAAGTGTGAGGATAGTGTGTTTTGGGGAAAAGTAATTGAAAAATCATACTAATGTCGTTGGAAAGCTATTAAAGTTGTAACCTCTCCTACATTCATGCTAAGAAATATGAGAATTCATCAACACCGAGACCGCTATAACACGAAATGTCATGTCAGTTACGCACTTGTAACCTACAGAAAAAATAATGTCCTGTCGGTTACATAACCTACATGACATTCTGTGGTTTCAAGGTCTCAGCAGTGATAATTCCTCATATTTTTTTTATTTTTTGTTTTTTGCATGAACCTATGCAGGATTACAAACGCTGACGATTTCCAAATGTAATTGTATTCTTTTTCAATTGATTTTTGTAAGTCTTTGAAAAGGTCAACAACCAGTTGGTGATGCTGTCTATCGTGGAATCATCACTTTTTCTCCTTAACTCAGCGTCAGTCAATTGAGATTTTTCAAGTTTTGTCGAAATTTATGATCATTCAATAATTAAATAATACCTAATCCCTAAAATTTTCAGTACAAATTCCATCGATCGCTCTCGAAATGTTTTGCCACATTTATTGACACTTCGGTCAATGGCCGCATAATAACCATTTTAACGACTTTTCTGATCATCCTTAAAATTCGAGACTTCTAGTTAATCTCATGTGCTGCATTTACATCCAATATAGATGGCTAAACTTTGAGACACTTATTCAAATTACAACGTTTCAAAATCTCCGTTCATGTTTTATTTTCCCAAGGAAAACCGACGAATCTTATATGCCTTGAATTGTATAGGGATTAATCACGGTTGGTTAAAGGAAACCGCATCACCTCAACAAATTTCAAGGAATAGTATCGACTGTTTTTCCTCTCAAAAATAAAATTAGACGATTTACAACGTCGCGTTTAGAGTTAAGTGTTCTCAGAAATGAGACAGTGGCACCTTGATTTGCAACGTTGCAAGTTTCCTCCATAACAGTTATTAATTCGTCAAGAAGAAATGAATTTGACTGCATTTTGCAATTTGGAACTATAAATTCTGGCCCGGTTTTAAAACAACGTATGTGCCATTAGTTTCCCTATTCACCTAAGTGATTTTTCAGATGATAGCCAGAATTCATAGTTCCGAATCGCAAAATGCAGTCCAATTGAATCGTAAATTTTAAGGTTTCTCCTCGCCAAGTTAAGAGTAGGCATTCTTTTTTAAAAAGTTAAATGAATAAAAAAAATTTCGTGTGCTCACTTTCACCAGAACTTATTTCATTAGGACGCGTTTTCGAGCTATGGCTATTCCATCCGCAGCCGGCTGCGAACATCTGAGGAGTGAACCGCACCTGCGAAACGCGTCCCAATAAAATAAATCCTCGTGTGCCAGCGAGAACGCGGAATTTTTTAATTCATTTTATTCACTTGACTTGTAACTTGACCCCGGCTATAAAGTTTTTCACTCTCTCAAAAATGGATTACATTTTGCAATAAGAAGCCACTATCTCTGGTTTTCCCATAAAAGCACGTATCTACTTAGGGACTCCAATGGTATGTATGTTGCCTCTAAAATATGCCAGAAATAGTGGTTCCTTATTGCTAAATGTAATCCAAATTATGTTTGGACTATCCTGCCGTGCTAAGGAAAAGCACCGTATGAACCTTCATGCATTGCCAAATTTCCTTTGATAAAACACGAATTTCCTGCAAAACTCATGAATATTTTTCAGCTAATTTTTCGGATAATTTTGCTCGCAATTTCAACTAAAGTTCCTGATAATTTCAAGGAAAAATATTCGTAAATTTCCTCGATATTAATAATTTTATCGAAGGAAATTTGGCAACTCTCGAATGTTCACACGGCGTTTTTCCTTAGCACGCACTGGAAAAAAACACATTGGATCTAGAGTCCAGACTCTTGAAAACATTGCCAAGAAAAAATACTCTTGATTCAATCAGATTTAAGCTTAAATCGAAAGGAAATCCGCTCAAATTAAGAGGCTAGGTTCTTGATTTAAGCTTAAATCCGATTGAATCAAGAGTATTTTTTCTTGTCGATGTTTTTAAGAGTCTGGACTCTAGATCCAATGTGTTTTTTTCCAGTGCGGCAGTATGGAAATCAATTTTTTGAATACCTTTTTTGTAAATATGATTTAGGTGGAAAATTTACAATACTGGAATCATCATGCGTGTTTTTCTAGCTCTATCTTCTTTACGTGTGTTTTATCAAGGAAACTGATGATTTGTTTGTGTTTCAGGTCCTGACGATTTGCAATAAAATCATGGATGAGCTCATTCCGAATGAGAGGGCCGATCGTGACTTTCGAGCTAAGTTCCCGGATGACGTCATGCAGGACAATCTGGCGGGTCAGCTGTGGTTTGGAGCAGAGGTACTTACATTTTTATCCAAGGGGAAAAATCCGCCAGTCTCAATGCTGCCGTGATAGCGAGGAGAGCAGTAAATGTCAAATTTTCGAAATCGCGTTTCCTCCAAAATTCGTCTCAACTCTTTCAGATGAAATCACTGAAATTGTTAAAACAGCAAAGTTCATCTTAATCGTATCAAAACGAGACATATGAGAAAGTCGCTAGTGCGCCAAAAATGACGTAGTTTCAGGCAAGACAGCAGTAAGTGACATCAGGGTGTCTACAAGTCCGGAAAGTCCGGATATAGTACTGATTTTTTAAGGGCGGTGCGGAAGTACTGAAAAAGTGCGGAATTTCGCGAGGAGGCCCGGAATTTTTGTCATTTTTGTTGCAATTTGAGCGAGAAATTAAAATTTTTGAAAATTTTCGAATTTCGTCAATTGGAGGTACTGAAAAAGTACTGAATTTCTCTGTTGAGGAGGTACTGAATTTCTTGGGAATGGACTGGAAAAGTACTTTGAAAGCACTGATTTTTAGTCAGCCTGTTTTAGTAGACACCCTGGACATTATTCCTTCAGAGAGCCAATGAAAACAGTGCTTTCAAGTAAAGTGTCGCCCTCCTCTGTCAATTTCTAACTTGTTTGTTGTGTGCCCAAAACGCAACCACGAAAGCATACAGAAGATAGCACTTACGGCTGTCTTGTCGAACACTAGCCTAACCTGAAAATGAATGAACCCTGTCTAGCAAGCGGGAAAGCGGGAGGACCGGCAAGTGTCAGGGAATTTTTTTTTTTTTTTTGGTGTCAGGAAAATCAGGGTAGACGTCTGGGAATCCGCAAAAATTCGGCATGTCAGGGAATTTTATTTTGCAAGCGATTTTCGGGTCAGTCGAACGTCAGGGAAATCGAAAAACTCGGATTTTTCGGAAAATGTTTCGCGAATTTTATTCTCGCAGAGATTTCTACCAAAATGTCTGCCAGAATTTCTTTTAAAAACGAATGTTGAATGTATTTTTGTCTGCTGATGTCGTTTAAATCTTAAAAACGAGACGAAAATATCTCGCACAAGTTCAGGCACCTTATATTTTACTCTATTTATTACATTATATCCTGAAAACATGAACAAATTCTTCCTTACATCTATTCAGTTCAACCGTGTCGAAAAATTGGGAATATTTGTCCTTTTTGTCAGGGAAATGCCAAGGAATTTTTTTTCCGTCTGTCAGGGTATTTTAAATTTTTACCCGATTTTTTCGCCGTTTTCTTCAGGGAATTCAAGGAAATGTCAGGGATTGTTTTTTTTTTGAAAATTGCTAGACACCCTGAATCTCCCAGAATGTCAGTCTTGATGTTTGATTTTAAAATTTAATCAACTGATAAGTCTCATCGTGTAATTCCCAGTCTGAGACCGTTTGCGCATCAACTACTGAAATGTTCATCACTATGATTAATTGTTAGATATTTCATCCATTAGTATTCAAGAACAGGAGTTATCAATAAAAAAAGTAAAATGCGTGGGCGTTTCTAGGGCGTGAGGCGTAGAAGCAACTCTAAATAGATTGTACTCTGCTATTTGCTCTTCATGGTCTAGAATTTTCAAATCAAATCGAAGCGTAAAAAGTCTGTCTTATCAATTCCATTATCTTGTTATTACGACATTTCAATCATAGTCACCGTTTATATCTTTTCTTGCTTTTAAATAGAGATTCGTGTATTTCCCTGACATTTCTGTCAGAAAAATGTATTGTTTTATTCTGCCGTGCTAAGGGAGAACGCCGTATGATCATTCAAAAGTAGCCACATTTCCTTCAATTAAACGTTTATTTTTGAGGAAATTTATGCATATTTTTACTCGAAATATTCAGGGAATTTTGGTGAAATTGCGAACAACATTAGCTGAATAATCTGAAGGAAAATATTCATTAATCAACCAGGAAATTCGAGTTTTATCGAAGGAAATTTGGCAATGCCTGAAGGTTCATACGGCGTTTTTCCTTAGCACGGCAGTATTCTAGGAAGATACCAACCACCTCAGCTGATGCAGTTCATATAATTTTTGGCTGAGTTATGTTAATGAGTAGTAATTTTATAAATCTTCCCAATTAATTATTACAAAACATGCTGATGTAACGTTTTTCGAGGACGTGAAAATTGTTGAGCTTTTGCTTACAGCTTATAATGTAAATCAATGCTCACCATTCATTGATTATTTTGAGTTGAAGAAATTTCATCTCAAGTTTTTCCATATTTGGACAACATTTTACAATAGGAACTACTATTTCTGGCTCGTTCATATGAATACCTACCTGCATCGAGAAAGTAGTTGCACATAGATTATTTTTGTGAAGAATTAGAACATTTGTAGTTCTTTATTGCAAAACATAGTCCATTTTTAACTGCCCATGAGGAAAGAGATCTCAGAGTACTCAGGAAAATTGTTCAGGACAGCTTATTTTAGCGATCCTGCTTAAAAAAATTGTTTCATTATTTTTTTCCTTTACAAGAGTAAAACATGAGAGGAAATTAGGTAATATGCAATGCGTTTGGTTTATTTTGGTTAAATCTGTCCATTTCTTATTTAAAGTATTCAAGGCCAGTTACTTGAAGCTAAGGGGAACCTTTTGCAAAACCCTGGTCCTTTATGTTTTCAGGTAGTGGAAATTGAATTTGTAATGACCGATCTTTTTTTTTATTTATTTATTTATTACTTTATTAATTTTGCATTTAAGCCGAACAAATTTATTTTCTACTACCACTACTTTTTTTACTTATTGAAGACAGTGTAATTTGTAGTCTCATTTCAAATCACAATTTCCTGGCGTCATAACATCTAATTGCCTGTTTTTACAGCTTTTCCTAGATTATAGAGTCACGCCGATCTCCTTATTGTTTTCTCGATGTTGTTTATGGTAAAAATAACAATCAAATTTTTGTTAACAGTGCCTGGCTGCAGGATCAAGTATCTTAAACCGAGAGAATGAATCATCCGCCATGCGCCCTCTGGCAAAAGCGTTGACCAAATCGCTGGAGAATGTGCGGACACTGTTGCGCGAACACAGCTTGCGCTCAAACTCACTCCACCAGCTTAACATGTTCAACGAGTTATATGCTGACAGGCTAATCGAGTCATTGAAGATGTTCGATCATCTGCTCGCAGAGTTTGAGCTCTGCTATGTTTCTGCGATGGTCCCCGTCAAAACTGCCCATGAATATCAGCTCCAGCAGTTGGTTATTGTTCTATTCTCAGAGACTTTACAGAGGTAATTACTAATTATTACCTTTTCAATTGTTCTGTTCTTCAAAACCAGTAGAAAATTTGAGTTTAGAAATGAGGGAATGCTTCATTATCAGATGATACAGAGTCACTCGTCACCTTGGCAAAGTCCAAAAAACTCTGTTGATCCTCTCTGATTTAAATGGAATCTTGTGTTCGGAATTGGAATTTGGAACCAAATTTTACATGTCATCAATTTTATGGTCAAAGTCGGTGTAGCAAAATTTCTTGAGTCACAAGTTTTTAAACAGTCAGGAGAAACTTAAAAAAATCAGCACTTTAAATCGTCCGTGAAAACGCAGAGGAAAGTCAAGAAATTCTGTCATCAAACCCTGAATTCTATAATCCTGTTGATCCTTTTGAATGATCGAGGTTGTATCCACATACTGTATCTGCTGAAGTGAAATTTTGCATAAGATTATATCTTAAAACAAGCATTCCCATGCTTTTCACCATTGGAAGGTTTGGGAAAAGCTGGGAAATTTTTAGCTCAAAAACAAAGAAGAGCTAGGGAAAAGCTGAAAAATTTTGAAATTCAAGGATTCTTTTGACCCTGATGACAGACACAGATTTTTTTCTCATTTTTCTCTAAGTGAAGAGTCTCAGGTTTTGTGCTCACATATTTTAATCTAAAATATTCCAAAGAACGAGATGTAGTTTTTCAAATTGGCTTTTAGGAAATTTGCAATTGTTTTATTAATAAAATTTGTTGAGTTCTAAGTAGCTTTTGGAGCTTTAGCCTGAATTTTTCCTCAGTACACCTTAGCTTCCAGTCCTTATTGGAAGTTGAATGAGTTTACTAATATTAGGACCAAAGAGGTTGTTCCAAAAACGCCGATTTTGGCCCCCCCCCTGGATTCGGCCCAAACTTTGCTCAGATATTGTACTAAGTGTCCCCGACGCTTGGGCAAAATTTCAGCCCCCTCGGATAATTAGGGGAGAGGGGGCAGGGGGGCAAAGTTGCAATTTTTTTAAAACTTTAAAAATCGATATCTCGCGAACGGTTTGAGTGTAAGTGTCGCGGTTTGCGCTAAAAAACGTTAAAAAATATTCTCTACAAGAATATTAATGCTGTTTGCAAGGTTGCCTAATTTATCGCGGTCATAAATCGATTTTTTCGATTTTGAAGGTTCGACTTTTTTTCGTTTTTCGTCTCTCCTCTCCAGGCGATCGTTGCTACGTGAATGAAAACCGGTTGAGGTGATTCTCCATGAAATTCTGCATCTGCTACACTTTGTTTGACCTTGGGGAAACGATTCGTTCGTGAGTTATAGCGATTTTTCTGCGCGTTACCGGTTACGCGCGGGCGGCATATCGGCGGCGCTCCATCCCGCACGGGCGAGGCAGAGGTTGTTTCACCGCTAGGGCCTTATATTCATGCTGTAGGCTGTAATTATCGATATTTTCTCCTCCCCCCACCCTTCCCCTCCAATAAATATTGTTTTAATACTTCGGTATACAGGGTGTCCCAGACCATCCGTAACAGGTCTTTTTCTCGGTTGGTTTAGGTAGTACGAAGTGGGGGACCGCGGGGTTATATAGGGTATTGACCCCAAGGAATCCGAATTTCACGGTCCCGAAACCCCCCATGCCCCCCCTTGGGAGATAGGTGCCCCCCTTGGGGTCATGATCCCAAAAGTCGGGAGACATTGTGCCTCCCCCTTTTACGCCCCGAGGGTGGCTAGGGGGGCCTTAGGAACATAAAAATCGGATTCCCTGGGGGTCGATTACCCGGGAAATCATCTTTTTCCGGAGAATCTACGTCAATTTTTGACCAAAGGGAAATTATGGAGGAGGCCGATGTCCCCGTTTTGAAGAGATCATTTTTGGGCGCAAATTGACGTAGACCCTCTAGAAAAAGGCGATTTCCCAGGTAATCGACCCCAAGGAATCCGATTTTTATGGTCCCAAGGCCCCCCTAGCCACCCTCGGGGCGTAAAAGGGGGAGGCACAATGTCTCCCGACTTTTGGGATCATGACCCCAAGGGGGGCACCTATCTCCCAAGGGGGGGCATGGGGGGTTTCGGGACCGTGAAATTCGGATTCCTTGGGGTCAATACCCTATATAACCCCGCGGTCCCCCACTTCGTACTACCTAAACCAACCGAGAAAAAGACCTGTTACGGATGGTCTGGGACACCCTGTATACCGAAGTATTAAAACAATATTTATTGGAGGGGAAGGGTGGGGGGAGGAGAAAATATCGATAATTACAGCCTACAGCATGAATATAAGGCCCTAGCGGTGAAACAACCTCTGCCTCGCCCGTGCGGGATGGAGCGCCGCCGATATGCCGCCCGCGCGTAACCGGTAACGCGCAGAAAAATCGCTATAACTCACGAACGAATCGTTTCCCCAAGGTCAAACAAAGTGTAGCAGATGCAGAATTTCATGGAGAATCACCTCAACCGGTTTTCATTCACGTAGCAACGATCGCCTGGAGAGGAGAGACGAAAAACGAAAAAAAGTCGAACCTTCAAAATCGAAAAAATCGATTTATGACCGCGATAAATTAGGCAACCTTGCAAACAGCATTAATATTCTTGTAGAGAATATTTTTTAACGTTTTTTAGCGCAAACCGCGACACTTACACTCAAACCGTTCGCGAGATATCGATTTTTAAAGTTTTAAAAAAATTGCAACTTTGCCCCCCTGCCCCCTCTCCCCTAATTATCCGAGGGGGCTGAAATTTTGCCCAAGCGTCGGGGACACTTAGTACAATATCTGAGCAAAGTTTGGGCCGAATCCAGGGGGGGGCCAAAATCGGCGTTTTTGGAACAACCTCTTTGGCAGTTTCCATGCAAATGTAATGAAAGTTAATGCCTGAAAACCTGAAGAGTCAAATAACGAGTGCTGGTCACTAAGTTTAAAAAATTATGCTTGCATTTTTCTAATTCCCTGCTTTTTCATTGTTTCATTATTACATTCATTACTTCTCCTAACAAACTTGTATTTATTTTACAGAGCATTAAAGTTAGGATTACTATCTCAAGATCAAATCGACCAGTACGACCCAGCTCTCATGTTGACCATTCCCCGACTGGCAATAGTTTGCGGTCTTCTTTTTTACACGGAAAGTTCATTGTGCCTTGATGGACCTCCCTCCGACATGTCTGAAATGTTCCGTCCTTTTCGAGTGAGTATCGATCGAGTGCATCGTGCATTCGTTTTTATCTCCGATGACGCACACCAGCAAATTTTAGTATGTCTAAAATGTATCAACTAGTCGATATTAGGAGCAAACTTTGGTAACAAACTTGCGCATGCAGATAACTCCCAGGTCAAGCAAGTTCTCGAGTTATCATTCAGATAACATAAACAATGAAAGGTCATAATTATCTTCACCATAGCTCCCATATCACGTTTTAATTGAGATAATTGAATGCCTAATCTTGGCGATTTCTGCGGTAATTACGCCGAAACTTCATTTAGAAGTAAGTCACTGAGATTAAAGATTATAAAATCATGCATTCATTGAGAAAGGGTTGCTGTTGATAATCTGAACATGTGATTTGTTGATTTCCGCTGTTAGTACCTATATAGTCATAATTTCATATGGAATAATGAGTTACATTTGTTTAAAAGTCTTAACTTGGACAATTTGGCATCATGCACTGCAGTTGTAGATTTTACTAGGATAGCTAGAAAATTCTTGCCAATTCAATCAAATTAAGGTAATAACTCTTTTTTGTGACCTAAGATTATTCATTCCAGAAAATGTTTCGCTTTCTTCTCAACCCCAATGAAAAATAGTCAACAGACGATCTGATGTCTTTTGATTTGTGTTACTTTTGGGACCCCCCTTTTGAAATTTCAGTCGTTCCACCCTCATTTTTTATTTGGACTTCACATATTACGATTATTATTAATCTTTGGAAACCATTGAATCATGCACAAAAATTATCTGTAACTACTTATAATTGATTTTTTAAATCGATGATCAAAAAACACAAAATTGATTCCCTGTATACAAATACATAAGTAATGATTAGTACAAGGACAGTAAATAGCTATTAAAATTCTGCAAAATATTTATTGAACAGAATTCCGGAAAAAATTAGGTGAAATTCTTTCCTTTCCGTCAGCAAACATTCTCATACTCATTGTCAAAATGTTTTCTAAGTATTGTGTCAAATGCCTCAATTAAAAAACTTGAGTATTCTGGCCGAATCGAACACCTGAAAACAGGCAAGGGAACCTCCTTTTTTGGAGGCTTGCAATGAAAAGACCCTGTCCACACTCCTGCAGCATTGTTTTTTCTTAAAAAGTAAATTTCATGGACATTTATCAAAATACTCTTCCTTTCCTGCTTGAACAATAATTGTAAGGTATGTTCATCTTTGTTTTTTTTTGTTTTTCAGACCCTGTTGATGAAAATTCGGGAATTGTTATGGACCTTAAGTGACAAAGAGCTTTATACGTTAGAAAAAATGTTGTGTTCCTCAAGTGATAATACTCCGCCTTCCTCATTCGCTACTCTCAACAAACCCAGGTCAGTATTCTAGGCATTTATTGATAATTTTTACCTTCTGTGCAACAAAAACCTTGCCTACATTTTAAAATTGTTAAAGTAATCTCATAGCACTTTTCCGAAGTGATAATTGTATAAACATCATAACCAAGTCAAATATCGGTAAGTGAAGGTAAATCCATTCAATCCCAGCTTAATGTGTCCCGATAAAGGAAAAATACAAATCATAGTCTTATCTCACAAGAAGTTCTGTAAACGTAAATTTTGATCGAGTGTTGTTGGACATTTTGCACATTTTGCACATTTTTTGTGAAAAATTATCCTGAAGCATTCATCTCAGCAGTGATTTTTCTCTCATTTTCGAGTTCTTTAGCACGAAGGCTCCTCTTTATGTAGAGTTGTAGATGAGCACATTGTCTCAGTGCTGTTTGTTGCATATCTTATCAGTAATTATTTATCTTGACCCTTTTCAATTTTTCAGCGAGGAGGAATCTGGTTGGCAAGACAGCTACACGGAAAACTCAGAATGTGAAACTATGAAGAGCTCCATAAAAGATGACTCAGTCCAGCCAACTCCCTTCTCCAGCCACCGGGAATCCTTCACCCCGAAATCATCAAGCCTTAACCTCAATTTCTCAGACAATCACTGCCCGTACCCCTGCGATGTCGAAAACACCCCTGGAATTGCATGCACTTCAAATATCGACACTTCATCCATACGAATAGACTACGATCCGGCAGAAAAGTGTTTCGTCCTTCTAGAAAACTCAGATGACGATCGGAGCACATCCTTGCGGCCAGATGACGGGAGTTGGTCGGACACGGACGACCAATCGTGCAATACAGTATTAAACCTCTCTTGTAAATGTAGACTAGATGATGCCACGGCGTCAAATATCTGTGATAGTTGTAACTGTAATCAACCACCCGAAGGCTGTGCAATCCCCGAATCGGCGGGTGGTTTTTTTAACGCAAACAAGGTCCGCCAGGAGACCCCAAGGCAGGACCTGCCCCAGTCAGAATCGTTGCCAGACGGCGATCCAAAGTTAGCGATGTCGTTGGCCACTGAAACATTGTCAAGCATCCTTAATAATGATCTTGTGCCTGACTCAGGTGTGTGCACACAGACAAATTCCGAAGGTGATGTTTCATCTGCAGACCGAACGCCGGACAAAGAGGAGGTCCCTGTCTCATCCGTTTGTAACCTAGGAACTAGTCCTGATTACTTCACTGCCGACTCCGATTCCTCGCAAGCTGGACCAGCTGAAGAGAGATCTTCGTCTTTGCATTTAACCAATCTCCATTCCATCGAGTGTTCATCGCAAAGTGGCGTTTCAGACAGTATTCCACGTGACTCCAGTCTTGAAAGTTCTCATCCTAGCGGAATCTCCGACGACTTAGTCAAAAAAGCGTCGCTAGATTACAACAAAATTTCCGAGGATTTAAGGTGGGTTTCACAAAACCCTGATGCAGAGTCCTCCTCTAAGTACGATGATTATTTAGACAATGTTGATAGGAATCTCGGCAAGAGTTTCGACTCGAATAAGAACCTGTCCAAAGTTCTTTTGAATCATTCAAACTCAGTCACGAGTGTTATTTTGAATCACAAAGTTCAGCCGGAGATGGAAAGCGATGAATCATCTTCGAGGGAGATGACACCTCAAGGGCGCAAACTTCTGGAAGAGAGTATTCTCGGGGTGAAAAAGGCTGCTTCTAGATACAGCAAGTGAGTACTCTTGATTTTTTAAGTGTTTTGAATTTAGAAAAGAAGAAGGAACTCCGTTAACAATTTATGAGATTTGCCACTAGGTCTCATATGAAGGTTAGAAGTTAGTGTCCAAAAACACCTCCTGTTAACTTTGTTATATGGTATTGAGTTCTTTCTTGAGCAGAGTACATGTTAAGGTTGTGATTAATACCTTTCTCTTTATTTTGTGCATAAAAATGAGATATCCTGTGCTTTATTTTTAGCGGTAAAAGAAATATTACATTCGCGGTCTCTCCTCTAATTTATGTCACTCAATAATTAAAATTTCCATGTACGTGTTGTCTTCATCAGAATTATTTAATTAATAAAAATATCCAAGAACCCTAATTTTAAAAATTGGAATTTGAGAATTTTACAGAGGAAGCATTTACAAACATTTTAACACATATCAGACGCTAAAGACTCAATACCATTTGCTGAAAATGAAATGTAGACATTGTTGTATTTTTTAAGCCAACCTACGCTAGTTTTTTAAGTAAATTAGAAACTAATTTTGTCTCATGTGTAGTTGGAAGTAAAAAAGTCAAAGAGCAGAAAAACTAAATATGGAGAAATACGTGGTTGAAAACACTAGCTCATCTAATCACACTACCAAAACAGAGTTTATATTTTGTTCACTTTAATCTTTTTCAGGAGTAGCAGTGAAGTCATGAGTAGTAGCGTATCCTCTTCTTGCTCATGTTCCAGTAGCTCTTATCCGAGTATGTCTGTCACAAGCAGGTCAGTTCCTTGTATTTTTTTCTCCAACAATTTGTAAAGACTAAACGATGTATAAAAACTGATACATTGAGAAAAAATAAGAAATAAATCAAACATGCAAAGTAGGCCCATTCACTAATCCTCATTTCATCAGAACTATTATTCTTTGAGTCTTGGCTAAGTGAATGATGTTTATTTTTAATCGTATGACAAAAAAAAAACTTCAATCAGAATTTTGATTTCACTTATCAATTCGAGTTACATGTTTGATTTTTTGTTTCGGGTTTTCTCTATTTTCTCTGCTTTTTTTGCAGTTGCAGTGTTCACAGTAGTGATACGTCCTCCTTCGACTCTGAATTCCAAGACTATGAAGAAATAGCCCTAGCAATGCAAGCGTCTCGCCTTTCTCACAAAAGCGGCGTTCGAGCAAAATTCAGGTCAGTATTTTTTTAGTCAAATGTGTGTGCATTTTTCTATCTACATTTCCTGGAAAGTGAATTTCAAGGGAGTATTTCTAAGAAAATTCACAGGAAAATTCCCGTCCATGGGAATGAGACAGCCTCCTGTCTCACCTTGATTCCCAGCTACTAGCACAGTATTATCGCCTAATTTATCAGGAACTTCTCGTTCTCTTATCTCCTTTTCTCCACTCATGAAGAAAAATTTTAAGCTTTAAGTTTTTTATGATTATCTTAATGTTTGAAACTGTAAATTCCAGAGCTTAAATCTCCAAAAAGCTTTTTTTTGCGATTTGAGCCCTTCCATTTGAAGTACACGTACAATTTTTACGTCAATTTATTGCACCATAATCTGATTTTGTAAGAAGAAGGATGCACACATTTCCCCTAATGTTTCAGCAAAGATTTTCTGACTCATTAAACATTTTTTTTGGTGTACCATGGAGCACTTTGAAATTCTCTTAAGAAACATCAAAGCTGCATAAAAATGTAAAAAAATAACTGTGGACATCTTGTCCTTCTCCAACTGCGATTTTTTGCAGAACTGCAGAAAAATGTTTATTTTCTAACCTACCTTGATTCCTGAAATTAGCTTTCCTAGAAAAGAAATCCTTGTTTTTAGACTTTTGATAATTTTTACAAACAGCCGTGAATGATGAAAGGAAATTTGAGAATCTCTCTTTCAGAGTATTTTGGAAATCCCTCTGAGCAGACCACAAAATCGCGATTTGCAACTGAAAATATTTGCAGGTTAGGTTCAAAAACATGATTGCATTCCCTGCATAATTGCAATCACGAAGTTTCCTGATAAAGTGTGATCGCAAGTACATGAAAACTCTTAATGGAAAATTCCCCTGCAAAATTACAAGTGCAAACATTTTTGCACTGGAAAAAAGAATAAGAAAGAACAGGAAATTGCGCTCTTCAAACTATTTCTTATTTCATATTCGACCTGAAACCTAAGATCGAGTGGGTCTGCGTTTTCGATAAACCTTCGATTCTCATTGACTTCAACTTTGAAAAAATTTCCCGACTTAAATTCAATCAATGGCTTGCACATGTCTCAACATTCCTTGTCAAGCAAAATGAATGGTAACAGCTTATTTTAATACTCAACTTTTTGTATTTTTCCCGTTGCAGATCCAGTGAAGATTTAATCCATCGCTTGTTTGTGTGCATTGCGGGAGTTGCTGACCAATTGCAGACAAACTTTGCAGCGGATCTTCGTAACATCTTAAAGTGTGTCTTCCTCATGAATGCATCGCTCATGAGTGAAACAGAAAGTATCGTAGAAGAACCAATTACCAATGCAGAGGAACATCCTGGTACGTTGAATATGGTTTTATTCTCTTTAAAATATTGTTAAAAAATACCAAATCACGAATACGTGCTGAAAATATTCAATGGGTCAGTTGCGCTGGTTATAGAATCATGTTTTGGTGCTTGCTTCTTGTAAATCAGCTAAAAATGATATTATCCGTCCAAACAGCAACTTCCTACGTTCAATATTAACCGCGATATTGCCCATTGAAAAGTCCGGTTTTTGACGTCATCCACCGCGGTAGTAACACCCTTGGTTTCTTCCACCTAGCTTTCATCTGAGTTTCACGTTAAATAACCAGGGTAAATGTGCGCCACACCGACTAATGGAAGCTAGGTGGAAGAAACCAAGGGTGTCACTACCATGGTGGATGATGTGAAGAACCAGAACCAGAACCAGCCCTTTTCATGGGGCGATATTTCGATTATTATTGAACGTAGTAAGTTGCTGTTTGGATGGATATTATTATTTTTAGCTGATCTACAAAAATCAAGCACCAAAACTTGATTCTGTAACCAGCGCAACTGACCCATTAATAACCTGCTGAGTCGAATGAAAATTTCAGCAGCTTTACTTTTAAATCAAACATGTATAGCTTTTAATGATGAGGTAAGTTAGCCACATATTTCATAATTCAAATTTCACCATCTAACTGAATTTACCAAGTTATTATCTAAAATTGCTCCAAAAAAAAGACAATGATCTTGCAGAGTAGTTTTTAGAAACCTAAATCAAAACAATACTTGAAAAGAAAGAGATGAAATTGTGTTTTAAAGTATCTGTTATTTGTTTTCCTTCACTTAAATGAAACATACTACCAGATAAATTACAGTATTGCAAACTATATTGATTCACCTTACATTAATTGTATCAAATTATAATTTTTTTCCCTACTATATCCTGTATTTTAAATGATTTCTATCGTTTTCTTTATAGGTGATCTTCACCGAGATAGCATAGAAGACGGAGAGGAAGCCTTGAGCTGGCGCGATGAGTCGAATTCTCCAAATGGTAGACGCAGAGAAGACTTGGAAATTGCCCCAGCATGGGTGCCAGATGATCTTGCGCCACATTGTATGGCGTGTGATGCATCTTTCACTGTGGTACGCCGCAGGCATCATTGTAGAAATTGTGGGAAGGTAAATTTTGCCTTAATTTTTTCTACCTTCATTACATTTTACTCTCTACTGTTTACCTATGGATTTTTACCAGTCAACTCTTTCATTTTGTTCGTAATGGAGTGAAGGCCACGTTATTGTTCTTGGCTCTGACTCCAAAACTGGAGAAAATGTAAATTACTTAGTATTTACAAATGCAAACCCCAGGAGTGAAAGAAAGGGGTGCCACGGTCGAAAAAAAACTCAAGGCAGAATGGAAATTTTTGGACGCCGTCTTGGTTACCGCAGCAAACCAGCAATGCGTTTTTATACGGAAGCTCAAAATACGCAACTTTTAACTTATTTTCCGTGGTTTAAATTTGTTCAAAGACTTGTGGGAATATTCCTGAGGAGGAAGAGTGCTCTTTTCTTTTCGAAAATGTAATAATTTTAAATTACTAAATAAACAAGCCCATTTTCAACAATAATCACCCTTTATGCTGTCGCTCACAGCTCTTATTATTATCATCCATTGAAGTTTCTGCGAGAAGTCACCCCTTTTTTATGTGTTTCAATAATGAAGGATTTTATCTTGATTTTTCAGGTATTCTGCGCACGGTGTAGTTCAAACTCAGTGCCTCTTCCACGATACGGTCATGTGAAACCTGTTCGAGTGTGCAACCGATGTTTTATCTACCAAGTCACCCCGTTCACTCTCACTGCAATAAGCTCTTAACATTCCATCTCACGCTTCGGCATGCTTAGTCCCATAATCAAGTCATTTTTCTACTGTTTTTCTAGTACCTCTTCTTTTGTATCCTACCTAGCTATTCCAAATCGTCAATCTCATTTTGTATTTTTAATCGTATCATAGGAGCAACCAATCTCTTGGTATTTATTTTATGTTTTTGAAGTTGTTTTCGTATCTCAAACCACAGGATAAGGCTTTTACACTCAATGTTTTTTGCCAGGCCTTAAAATTGTGATTAAAATTTTTGACTTTAAGTTTTATGCTCGGATTCTTTTGTTTCAATCTGCTGGATAACATCAAAATGGTCTCTCGGTCAAGGTATAAAAGCTTGCTAGGAGCTAGAAGTACCCTTTCTAACTCCTGAAAACTATCTGTTGCGGAGATAATAATGATTTCTCTTTTAGTTCACATAACTATATATTTTTGTGAGAATGCGTCACAAAAACTACATTAGCTGAAAGTTTGCAACATTCAGCTTCTTTCACACTTCCCCAAGCTTTATTATCATGAAATTTATTACAAATTTCTCTCAAGATTGCCTTGGGGAAAAAGCTTTTTGAAAGATGCAGAATGCCCCATCAATAGGAATGTGAATTTCAGATTTTGAGGATTTTTCTTTTTAAAAAAATGAGTGCTCAAGAATTTCTGGCTTTTTTTATCAATCGTCCTGATACGTGTCATTTTGTGCTTGTTTTTCGTGTAAAATCCATGTGTATGTTTTTAATTATGACGCTGAAATGTTATTTGTTGCTTAAAATTGTCTTCAGTTTCTAGTGCAGTGTCCCTATTGTTTTTTTTTATCCAAAAATTCCAATAAAATAAAAAGGGGATGAAGTATAAAATTCAGTGCAAGGTGAGCAATCACAATTCCATTCCAAGCTGTGTGAATATTTTTCAATAAAAATATATTGTAGCGAATCAGCCAGGGAAAAAATTTACTACTTTGAATATTATCACCAGAAAGTGGAACTTGCGTATGGAGGAAGTTTTCGGAAAGTTAGTTTGTATACTTTTAGTTTGTAAACTTTTCAGATAAATTGTGCTTCATCATTAAGACTCGGGAATACTTCTTCGATGCATTTCTGTCTTACATTTACCTCGGTGTGAGTTCAAAAAAGTCGAAAACTTATTTGGCTATCGTCAGTGGAGGAATGGATTAGCTGTTTTATTATTAAGATCCTATTTTTAACGATGAAGTAGTTTTACATAACACATTTGAGCTTGAGCACCATTTATATGATGCCATCATCTGAGATATTTCTCCCTGAGAAACACAAAGATGATGCCATCTGTGCACATCTTTAGATCTTATTTTGGTCTTCAACAGCTGTTTTACGTGAATTATCAATGCTCCATAATTTTGAATACATTCACCATTGAGAAGAGAAAAAAATTGAAAAATAAAAAGAAATGCTTAAAGTTCAGTATGGATGATACCAAAGTAGAAGAAATTGTGGTGTACAATATTATAGTAAATGATGGCATCAATCATATTTTTGCCAGTTATACCTCCCTTAATAAGGAACATAAAAATGTTGCATTTGGATTACTAAAACTGCATATTCTATGAAAATTCATAAACATCACTCCCAAAAGATTCTTCCGATCTTTTCTAATTTCTCTCCTGTCATTTAATGGGTCAACCTTTCATATACATGTATTGCGCAAGGATCATCCAAATTTCTTGACCTTTACAGCCTTTTTTTCCCCTTGGTCCGGTTTAATTATTCACATTCAGCCTCCTCCTTTTTCATCACAGGTTTTAGTTAACCAGATTGGTAGGGATTTTCTTTTTCAAGGTAGTGAAACAACCAATAATTGTAACTGGCCGCAAATGAATCCTGTGTTTTGATGGTCAGTTTTCTTGCTCTCTGTTTTACGCTTACGGCTTTGTGAATATGTATATGTGTATGTAAATATGTACAGGAAAGGATTTCAAGCACTAGTGGAAATTAATCTTTGAGTTAAAAGATTTTCCAAGTTTTAATCAAATTCCTTTTTCTTTTTGATTTCGAGGAACAATGCTTTTGTTATGTTTTAGTTTTAATTTACACACCACAATCATTTCCTCTCGGCTTACTGTCTCAAGTGATATACTCTGAGGAAATTTTCTCATCTTCACAATCACTGATTTGTTGAGGATTCATTTTTTCTGTACTGTCAAGTAAGGAAAGCCTGCTTTTTGTTCGGTGTAGTAACTTGTTGAATCTATATGATGAAAAGTTCATCACTTTTAAAAGCCGTACAATGAATCTATGTTAAGCTGAATTTGTCCAAACCAAAGAAAGGTTGATTTTTAAAATTTTTATTTATGTTCTTTTTATTCAAACTTTTTTTTTTTTTTTAAATTTTAAAACTTAGTGCATTTTTGGAGGCAAGTTGTGACAGTTTCCTGTGGACTTTACAGAATAGAAATAGTGTCACCATCGATTGTTTTTTATGTCAGAATTTTAGCCGTCTCAAAACTTAAATGATTTGCGTGTACAGGTTGATTGGACCACGGGACAAGGTGTGAATTGAAGCATTATAATTTATGTTTTCTCATTGGTATTTCACGTGAGACATGATTTGTACAACAACTAACATTATTGAAAGTAACTCTTTTCCAAGATATTAACGTTTTCTGTTGCATATATTCAAACTTCCTTCTTTCAAAAAAAATCATTATCTACTTTATTTAAAGTGCATATCAAACATTACTGTATCAGTTCACGGTATGAAAGAATGGCAATCTCCATCTTGGCGCTTTGGCTCAGCTGCCATACGTGTTTACATTTTGAACAACAAAAGCCGGAGTAGGAATACAGCTTGATCTAGTACTATGATCAAAACTATTATAGTGCGCAATTCTATTCTTTTAAAACACTGCTTGATTTAGAAGCCTGTCAAAACTGATATAGTGTGCGATTCTACTCTTGTTGGCTCAGATTTTTCTTGTGAGAGGGAAATTCCAATTTTCTGTAACCAGTGATAAATATAAACATTAATATCATGGTTAGGAGTTGATTTCAGTAATTTTTTCTGCAAGAAACATGTTCTACATGAAATTTTGTAGAGGCAACATTCTGATGAATGCATCAAGTCGAACCTTGTCCAGCGCTCCATTTTCATCTTGCAAAAGATTGTATCTAGAATGTATCAAACTCTCTCTAATTGAAGTGATTAATTTGTTTCCCCCGTGCAATTACTTCAACTTCCATTCTGATAAATTTCAATAAAATTAAGAATTCACTCGCGCTGCCCAGGCCACTCAGACAGATGTGCACCATTGGTGTCTTCAAATTTTTTGAGTTTTGGCTTTGATATTTTTCTTGTTTTTTTATTTGCTGCATTGACATGTTTGTAATCCATGTCATTCAATTCGCCTTTTTGTGAAATTACGTAGCTATGTTTTTGGTGTTTTATTTTATCCTGAGTAATTGTGCCTGCTTTTTTATTCTCGGTTTTTCAAAAAAAAATTTAGCACATAAGTTCATAGCAAGTTAGTTTGTTGTAGACTTTTTGCACGATATGAAAATTTTGCTGCCTCATTTTCCGAAAGATTGATGAACTAACCTCAGCATAAACAGCCCTGAAACCTCTGCTTCCAGTTAGGCTGCGCTGGTTATGACTCACTTGATTCAACTACGACCCCACCCGACAAGTCTAATCCCAGTCTAATAAAATAAAACCTGTTAAATTGCGTCCATTTGCTTGATATGAATATCCGCCAGACTGCTTTTGATTTGATTATGGTTTGATGCATCTGCATTGAGCCGCAGTTAAATTGGGTGAGTTTGTACAAAATAATTGCAGCCTAGGAGAATTGGAAACTTTAAACCTGCACAGTTCTTTCACCGCTAAGCAATGGGCATCAAGTAGAGAAACAAAAATTCAGGAAGCTCTTAAATGTTAAAGCAACGAATTGGCGCCAGAATTAAAATGAGTGTGTAAGAGAGAGTTAAAATGAGTACGTGTGAAAGGGTTGCTCAGAAAGTTACGCCTTCTTTTTAATCCTTAGATCCTGAAAAATGTTAAATATACAATTTAAAGCTTATGTATAGCAGACTGGTTCAAGCATCTGTCACTCTTTCAAGAGCTTAATTTTCTTAACATTTTTCTGTGCTGCACAATAACTTTAGAAGCTTGCCTCGTATACCAGAAAAATTGTTACTGTAAAGCCACCAGCTAATTTTTCAATCTGTTGGCAGTAGAGGTCAACTTCTAAACTGATTCTGAGAATAGGTGCACAGCAGAATCCAACTTCCTTCCGACATAGAATTAGAGTAAAACCTCGATTTATTGGACTTGACAGAACAGACAAATCGATCCATTAAATCGTGGAATCTGTCATTTCGCATTAGCTTGAAGCCCTTGAAGAGACCGGAAGATCAAACTGTTAATTCGCAGAATCTGTTCAATCGCGATCCACTAAATTAAGGTCTTACTATCGAAATTACCCCATGATCAATCAATTACTGATAGATTTCCATTTGCAATATCAGATGTCATGCCATTTTAGAAGCCAACATGAGCCTAAATTTTAAAGCAATACAAAACGTTTTCTGGATCACGTTTTCTCAATTTTTTTTCTTATCGGAAGCGAACCGAAGTTGAATTCTGCAATGCATCTGTACGCTGTTGGAGTCTCTGTCTTTTTGTCATTCACTCACATCTAGAACTTACATGGGTATCTCTGCGTAAGTCTAGTGTGTCTGTGTTCACTCCCTTTAAAATTCCGTTCGAATCTTGTGTTCATAGGATTCTAGAGTCTCTTCAAACACGGAGAACTATTAGTAACATAAACAGTATGTTTATTTTATTCAACTCTCCCGTCTCAGTTCCACCAAAAGTGTTTAAAAAGTCTGTACTGAATTGTAGTTTGTGCATGAGCTACACCACTGCCTTTTAAGTGTCAGGTCTTATTTTCCATTTGAACTTACTCCCAAGAAGAATTGATCTGGCCCCCTTCTGCTTTTAAAATATTCCCTATTTGATGTATTTTCAGGCAATGGAGAGAGATAAAGAGCTTCTGAGGGATCGATTATATAATAAGTAACGCACTTCTTCTTCAGCATTTCGACCCGAATGATCTCTCGCAACTGAATTACCCCCTTACTCAAGTATAAATATCTAATGCTGAAAATTGCATCTGCTTTCATTTTTCTTCCAAAAATAATGCAAAACTTTTTTGAAAGAATTCTCAATGATGAAGCGATGATTATATCTGAATGATCTCAGTCTCCCCTTTTCCGGAAACAAATCTGTAATTATTCGTTTGATTGACCTCTAAGATAAGATTGTACTCCCAACTTGCAGTGTTAACAATGAGTTAGGATTCGTTGAGTTTTTAATGACAGCAATTCATCTAATCCGTGATAAAATTGCAAGAATTATCAACATGTGAACAATTATCCTCAATTTTATTGCGAAAAAATAAAAGTTTTTCCCCAATATGAAGTTTCTGTTTAATTGCAACAAAATTGAAGATAATCGTTCATATGTTGGTGATTCTAAGGATTTGATAAAATTACAATAAACCTGTATATAAATTGCAATTATTCTATCGACAAATGCTATTCGGGTTCAGAGATTAATTTGTTTCCTGTTGTGCGTTACGTATAATTGAGGCGGTCCCTCATAAGCATTAAACAGTTTTTGATAGTAACTTGCTTCCCAACTATCACGCAAAAAGATGAAGTAGTTTAAGTTGAATAAATCTAAGAACAAAGGCACGCAATCACTCAAGGCTCCAGTAATCCTATTTTTGTAATATGCTTATCTTTTGGCTGATCTAATTTCCATCCCAATTCAAGTAGGCAGGGTCAGAAGCCTTTCCCCGCTTTGTTTCAATGTGTACTTTGTATCATGCATTTGGGCGCCAAGAGTTAAAAGTTCAAAAAGAAGAAGCTTATTTCATACGAGCAGCTGTGAATGGATTAAGGGTTGAGACTAATGTTTAAGTCATGCTTGCCAAAATCTGCAATTCAATAAATCCTTTTTCTCTGTAAATGAGGGTTTTTCCTCTCTGTGCTCAATGATAAAAATGAAAATATACCTCACTCACAGCGTTCAACTGAAATGTGAAAAATTGATAAGTAAACTCTTGATTTTTAAGAACACCCATCTTACTTTGTGTAAGATAACCTGTATATTAGAAACGTAGCTAGTATGAAAATTATATGTTAGAAGGAAAATTTCACAGAACCTCGAAAGTCACATAACAATTTATCGTTCACTTGCCCATCTCCAAAGCACTGATGCAATCCTTTCTGGAAAACTAGTTCAGTTTTACTGAAACCATCTGTATATAATGCTTTTATTTTTGAAACTGTCATCTAATACACTTTTTTATCCATATTTTTCAATAAAATGTTACTAATTTTATTTGAAACCAGCCTTTTTTATTGACCTCATTCCTAGAACCCAAGCGTATTCTTCTCTTTAGTCAGTTCATGGTGGTAGACATCCTGGTTATCATAGTTTCACTGAATCTTAAAAAATGAATTAGGTGAATCTCAGAACTATGCTTAGTTTTGCAGGCTTTGATGTTCATGACTTCACAATATTTTTCAGTTCATGGTAGATTTGTGACCTGAAAGAAACTAAACTCTTTTAAACCACCAACAGTATCTTTTATTACTGGTCTAGGTTATAAAAATTTGAATGACAACTATAACAAAGATGGATAGCTACTCAATCCTCACTTCTCTATGAAAGTTTTACAGATTATGGTACGGTTTGATTACATAAGGATGCCCCTTTTGGGCGGAACATTACAATAGAGCCAACAGAGTGATTATTTACTAGTCTCATCAGTTAGCATTAATAGATAAGGGCTGATTTTTCTTCAGCGGGCCGATTATTGAAATTTAAACCAGCCCGATAAGACATCGAATTGCAATATATTGCATGGTTGAGATAGGGCTATGTCTTGTCGTGTCCGGCTGACATAGTTTCAATAATCGGGCCGCAGGAAAGCAGCTCGCACCTATTAAGTCTGATACATTGATAAACAAGAGAAGTAAATACTCGAAATTAGGGTGCAGGAGGATAGGATCAAAGGGTTTCTGCGATTTTACAATACATACAAATGGAATATTTTGAGGAGCTACTTAGAAATGAGAACCTTGACTTATTTTTGTAACAACACATGAGTACACACTTTATCATCGTCTGCCGCTATTGTCTTTATTTTCCTGTGACTCTTCTCAGAGGGTGGGTATGAATTCTCTGGAGGTCTGGCTCTTCTGGAACACTCGAGGAATCGTTAATTCATTAAAGTTCATCTAGCAGGTATGATTTTTGACCGCAACAGGAAGCACGTTTCCCGTTTTCTTAATCTACGTTATACAAGTATTTCTTGTAACATGGCAATTGTTTATCAAATTTCCTGATACATAATATTCAATGCATGAAGCGCATATGAACAACACCTGAGAAAGTACAAACACTTTAAATCTGTAGTTTCCTGGAACTGCGAAAACTAGAAAAACTCCCAAAAGTCGAAAACATGAAATAGGATGGGAAACAGAAGTGATGAACTGGTCTCATTGACAGTAGCAACACAATTTGGGTTAGAAACACTTAACACCTTTACACAATGGGCTGATAAAATTCCCCTGATATTCTTTGCTTTGATCAAATAAATTACTTTCAAATCTCTATTCATTTAAATTTTGTACATTATTTCATCAAGACAATGTAGTACAGAAAAGCTCAATTATAACTTTCAAGTTCAATGAATACATTTATCAGCTTTTCCCACTGCACAAGTCAAATCGATACACTTATCTTGATGCTGTGTAAATCTCAAGGTGAATGTACATGGAAAGGGCGCAAATAATATATGAAACAAATTTTGCTACAGTACTGTTTCACTTTGAAATGCCAAAAAACAAATCGATTACGCCTGGAAGTGGATTTTAGCTACTATCCGTAGTATCTCTTTTGTAAGCCGGTTGTTTGCAAACGCAAAAATGAACCATTCAGTTTGACGAATGAAAAGCAATTTTTGGATTCTGCGCTTTGTCATAGCTTTCTTTGTTTCAGGATTTACAAGAGAAATTCTACGAGGAGAAACAGGTAGATACCTCTAAGCGTAATTGATCCATTTTTTGCCAACATTTTTAAAGTATGTGTGAAACCAGTGTTTGTTTCCTTTCCGTGTCGATTTACCTACAGAACAAGCTCCAAACATGGCCTAAATGAATTAAGGGAAATATTTCAGGGGTACACAGGATGATAGGAAACGTACTTGATCGGGAAATTATTCAGTAATCGTACATGAAGTAAAAAATCAATGTGCTTTGTGGTCATGTGGCCACTCCTCTGACGTAAGGGCCTGGGTATCTCTATTACTACAGAAGCCCTGAAAAGTGTAGATTTATAAAGAGCTCAGGGCTCATGTGAAAATTAAGATGCGCCCTTACTTCAGAGGGCGACGACATGTTGCCCACTCTCTATAAATCGCCCTTCAAAACTATTTACAATAATGAAAAATTATGCTGGCACTGATAAAGACAATATCTGAATAGAGCAGAAAAGTTTGCTAACAATCAAATAAAGCCCTATTTGGTAGCAAGAGGTAGTTCAACTGATTTCTCTTCTAGAAGAAGGAAATCATCATCTTAGCCCCAGTCGGTTGAATTTTGAACCTTCCTTCATGAAAATTCACAAGAAATTCGAAATCATTTATCAGGTTGGAATGCAAAAACTTGGAAGGAGCAAAAACTCTGAAATGGAGGGAGAAATTTTCTTTAAATTAGAGGGAGACAAAAAAGAAAACCCAAGTAGGGATACAGGTTCCACGCGGGATCTAGAGAAAATTCCTCCTTTTTTTCAGCAAATGTGCTATTATCTTATTGAAAGGTTGATTAGACTGTAATTGCATTACAAAACTTCTTACATTGCAGAAGTTTGAGGGAAAATACCGACCAAAATAACTTCTGACATTGATTGAACTTAGACAGTTCTTTACTTTAGTTTCACTGGGTAAGACTCACGCTCACATCACACTCTTTTTTTAAGTAATAAGAGGTTAATTAAGTAATAAAAAGCAAATCCCAAAATTTTCGACATTTTCACCTGATAAAAATAAAAATTAGAGAGAACTTGTTCAACGAATTAGAATTAAAAAATTTCTCAGGGAGTATATTAATACTTTGTCCTAAGGAGGCTCCAAAAGTCCTAATCAGCCTAATCAATTTCCATATGAGTAGGTTCATCGTTAAATTTCAAAATAACTAGCATCTAAAAATGCAAATTAGTAATCTCCCTTCAAAGTTCAAAATTTGTAGGGCCAAAAGCGAAAATGACAATTATTTTGACGAAACTTTGCGTAATTCAGTCACAAAAAGACATTTAAATCTTGTTTGTTAAGAATCTTATTGGTTTGACACACACAGATGATCAATACAGATCTAATTTATTACAAATACGCTGAGGATTTGATCAAAAGTGAAAGCAAGTAAGTTTTGAGTTAAATAAAAAGAAGAAAAACAATTCTTTCAACCTGACCAAGCAAAAATTTCAACTGCAGCATTTTTAACCTTCTTCCTGAATTTCCACCCACACAGCAGAATTTTCAACAACATCTTGAAGACTATCAACATACAGTAAAAAATTAACAATGAATCCTTTAGGAGAAATATTAACAAAAATAACTTAGCTACTAATCTAAACATACATAATGGACAGGCCTCCTTCAGGTAGAGGTATGAGTCAACTTTGAACTACATAATGAATTTTATTATCCAATACTAGAGGAGCCTTACGGTCCATTCAGTAGGAACGCAGATATTGACTTGCCAGAAGATACCTTATTTCCATATCTAAGATTTACCACGGAAAGACTGAGAGTTGTGAGCACCCTTGATGCTCCATTTTTCCCAAAAAATGCTCGAGATTTCAGAAGAATGGAATTGTATACACAAATTTATGAAGGCCGTATCGGGCTTGAAAAGAAAAATATTTAAATCCACATACTTAACCTGCCTAAGTAGAGCTTCTGGAGTTACTTAGATGCTGTGGCAGCATCTAGCAAATCTCACCGTTATTCAAATTAAATGGTAGTTTTGGCTGGTCAGCTCATTTTTTTGGGTATGTTTTTCATGAATTTCACGTAACAATAGCCAAACAAACACCACCTAATACCCTTTTGCTAGACCAGCAAAACAGCACAAGAATGAAGTCGTACGCTGGTTACCTCCGAAATCCAATCAATTTTTTTCCCCGGGAGTTTTATTGATTGGCAAACTGTTTTTATCTACAGATCTGGATTTTTCCTTAGAAATTTTGAAACCACCTTGTGACGCACACACATCTAAAGAAAATCCTTTGGAGCATTTCAATTTTTGAGAGCCCTCTTTCAGTTTTTAAACATTCCTAGTCCTAAAACTGTTCTGAAAGATATCATCTTACTTAATATTTGACTTCAGATTGAGCATGAGGCCATTGATACAAAACATTTGGAAAACAAGGCAAGGAAGTAGTTAGAAACTAATTGAAATTTGATGCTAAATTATGCTGAGAATAGGTAACTTTAAAAAAGTTCCTCACCCTGAAGAGTACTCTCTCCGCTAAACAATTTTTTTAGAGTCAAATTTTCACCGACTTACTTAGAATCTACATGACGTTAATAAAAGTCATCTGCATCTCAAAATATTTCTTAAAATTTAAGAACATCAGACTGAATCTGCTTAAGAAACATTTTTTAGAGGGACTTAGAGGAAATCAAAGGATCAATCACAATCTTTGAGTTACATCAAGTCAGGGACATCGGGCAAAAATAAGAATCCAGAGTTCATAAACACTTACAGGCATGACTTAATTACACTGACAAGGAAGGGAGAACGATCCTCAAAGGCTTTAGAGCCAAAATTTCAAAATTAAATCTTAGTTCTGGGTTGCTATCAAAAAAGAAGATCTTTCCATGGCCTCTTACAATTCATTTCAAGAGAGAAAAATTGGCTATAAAAATCTGGCAAACCTTGAAAAAGGTTTACTTACAAAAATGTATACAAATATTAAACTTTTATCAGTTTTGTTAGGATGCCTTGAAGATTTTATGATGTTCCTTGTGTTGTTCAGGTTGCTAGAGACTCAATTAATTAGACTTACTGATAACAATTTTTCCTCCTTGATTCTTACGAAGTCCCTTTCCATATCATGAAGTTCCTCTCAGAGCAAGCCTGTTTTAATGAGGTCATAAGTCTCCTAGGGTATCCAAAAAATTGTAAAAGATTATATAGTCAAAATTTGTACCCTGATAATAGCAAAGTTTGCCGGGTAACAGAGACCTGGCTGAACGGTACGATTTAAGCACCTACAGAGGGTCTCATAACGTTCTCAATGATCATTCATGGCCTTACTTGAAAAAAGCATTTTTCAATTTCAAAGAGAATTTGATGAGAGATGACTTGGTTAAGTTCAGTCTAAATTCAGAATTTGTGGTTGAAACGAGCTTGTGACTGCCTGACGACCATTACTATGACTGATTTACAAACTCTAGTAGAGCAAAGTTAAAGCAGTTACCATCGAACTAGGTCTTTGAACTCTGGATGAACGCTTATCCGTTTGATCGTTTCGTAACCTAGGATGATTGAGAAACTGAACATGGTGGACTGAATGAGTCGTGCTGAAAGACCTTTGGAAAAAATGCGTATTCCCTCTTCCTTCCACAGATTTCTTGAGGTAGTCAACATTGAATTAGTCCTTTGTACCTGGAGATCATACAAATTAATTCAGTTACAACAGAGTACATTGTAAGGTTCAAGAACTCAGATATTTGGAGTTTTGAAAGTTATATTGGGAATTTTTAAGCTTGAACTATTTTTGTGACTAATATTGTAATTTTGGAAGGCAAAAGAGGCCCCTCAGGTTATCCAAATTACACGCACTGAATTAAAAGCCCCCTTGTAGAAAGAGAGAATGTCTCTGTCTTTTAAGAGAACCGCAACTAAAAACCCAAATAAGCCAGTTACAGCCAGCCAGTTGAGTTATGGTGTCGGTGCCTCAACCGGGATGTGCTGTGTTACCAATGGGCCTGTTGCAAACTTTTGCTAGAGCAAAACTAAGAGTTGTTTCTTATAGATAATGCCTCAAAAATCACGATGAGCGCATCGGCAAAGTCTGAAATGCACTCATAACTTCACAATCTGCGTAAGAAATTTGCGTTTTTTTAAGCTTCCCGCTTCAAAAACGATACTACGGCACAGATGAACATTTTGTAAGAGGAGTCGTTTCATCGTCGGCAATAATCATCATAGCCGACGCCAATCCGCCAAAACACGTTTGATGGGACGAGGTAACACCTGAACTGGATTGGACCAGATAACAATCGGTGTGTTAACGTTCATATTTTCCACGCCCGAATTGATTGACCTTGAACTCTCCTTGAATTACGCGCGGAACTGCGTGCAAGCGTCGGCCATGATGAATATCGCCGACGATGGAGCGACTCCTCTAACAAAATGTTCACCTATGCCGTAGTATCGTTTTTGAAGCGGGAAGCTTAAAAAAACGCAAATTTCTTACGCAGATTGTGAAGTTATGAGTGCATTTCAGACTTTGCCGATGCGCTCATCGTGATTTTTGAGGCATTATCTACAAGAAACAACTCTTAGTTTTGCTCTAGCAAAAGTTTGCAACAGGCCCATTGCTGGAGGATAGGTGACTTGCCTGGACGTGGCTACCGCCACGCATAATCTTTATATACATTCGCTATGCACTTGTTAGAATTGTGTCCAAAATTTTCTAATCAAATGCATATATGGATTAATCGAAAAAAAAAATGCGCAATTTACCTCCAGAAAGGAACCTGAGATTTTGAGATGTTGTATTTCAAACGCCATACACAAATTGCTCTGATACACTTGTTAGCTGAAGAATTTCTGATTGTCTTTGCTCATTCTTGTGGTAAATGCGTTTTGTAAGTTATTTGACGATAGAAATGCAACTTTTCTAATTAACTTCAACAATAGAAGTAGTCAAAATCGCGATGGCTCCACAGGCTTTAACCTAATTTTAAATTCTGTATAAGATACAATGAATTAAATTCTTAGACATTTTTTTCTCTTGTACTCCTAGACCTTCAGCTCAAGAAATTCTTGCTCCTAGCAATTTTGATCTTTAGGAGAGAAATTTTTTTTGAGATCTTCACTTTGCATTTTTAGCGAATCTTCAAAAATAACCCTGAAATCAGGAGAGCCTAGGCTCCGAGGGTCAGGAAAATGTCTACGATCTGATTTGTTATTTCTCTTTATATTATTTGGATGTATTTCTATCAAATAGATTTATGTGCAGGTGAGAAATATAGGGTGTGCTTGTCAGTTCTCTGGCCGCAAGAGTGAATGAGAATAATAAAGCGCCAGTTACGTCAACAGAAATGGATGCGGCTCCTCGTAGTGCGCTTTAACTCATGAGCCCTTCCCACAACGCTCTTGTGCAAGGCCTGAGGCTCATATATCCCGTATTCAGTTGGCACATAGTTCTGTTTGCTGAATTCAAAATCCCGCTTTTCCAATTCTTCAAAATGAATCATGCCCACTGACCACATTGTTTCTTATCCAGCTTTCTACAGCACACCCCATATTTCTCACCTGCACATAGTTCTGTTAGATAGAAATACGTCAATTTCATGAATGACTCTCTTAAATCCTTGTTCACAGTTATTTTTGTAACATACCTGAAGACGGGCTCGAATGATGTCCATTGGATTCGTTATCAATGTGGTCGTGAATCCACCCAAAGTTCCTGCTACACACTGTATTAGAAGACGAGACACATGGTCAGGCAGTATTTTATTCATTTCATCTGAAAATTGAACACACGATGTTCCATGTTAGATAGTTATTTATCAGTGTACAGTTCAATATTCACATAACAGTCACTAGGCCCTGATTTCATCTCAAAATTAAGAACCCTGATTGACGGTCACTTAGGACTGACGCCACTGTCAACAAGTTAAGATTTTCAATTCATAAGGCTCATGTCATTCATTTTGTGTGTCATTAAATCGAGTTTAAATGAGCAAAAAAACAAGATTAGAAATGGATTACACTTTGCAAAAAGGAGCCACTATTTCTGGTCCATTTTAGAAACAACATACATGTCATTGGTTTCCCTATGCAGATATGTGCTTTTATGGGAGAGCCAGAGATGGTGGTTCCTTATTGTTGTTGCAAAATGTAATCCAATTTAAGATTCTTACCAGTTTTTCCTTGCGTCAATATTCTGTGTAATTCCTGAGTTGTCAAGTCAGAAAAACACTAAAAATTTAATGATAAAATGGATTGCATTTTGGAAAAAGGAACCAGGAGCACTGCAATGTTGCTAAGATTGTGAGACTTCTTTTGTTGGAAGAAAAACCTGATTATCCATTAACAGTTTCTACTTTACTTGCTAAAAACTGTAAATTTAAGACAAAAATTACCATGTAAATCTCAAACTTTTTCATGATTTCAGTATTTTAGGTAATTGCAAAGGACGAAGTTGCACAATCTTAGCATCATTGCAATGGGCCTGTTGCAAACTTTTGCTAGAGCAGAATGAAGAGTTGTTTCCTATAGATAATGCCTCAAAAATCACGATGAGAGCATCGGCAAAGTCTGAAATGCACTCATAAATTCACAATCTGCGTAAGAAAGTTGCGTTATTTTGAGCTTCCCGCTTCAAAAACGATACTACTGCACAGGTGAACATTTTGTTAGAGGCGTCGCTCCATCGTCGGCAATATTCATCATGGCCGACGCTTGCGCAGTTCCTCGCGGAATTCGAGGAGAGTTCAAGGTCAATTAAGGCGGGCGAGGAAAATATAAACGTAAACACGCCGATTGTTATATGGTTTAATCCTGTTCAGGTGTTATCTCGTCCCATCACACGTGTTTTGGCGGACTGGCGTCGGCCATGATGAGTATTGTTGCCAATGGAACGACTCCTCTAACAAAATGTTCACCTGTACCGTAGTATCGTTTTCGAAGCGGGAAGCTCAAAAAACCGCAAATATCTTACGCAGATTGTGAAGTTATGAGTACATTTCAGACTTTGCCGATGCGCTCATCGTGATTTTTGAGGCATTATCTGCAGGAAACAACTCTTAGTTTTGCTCTAGCAAAAGTTTGCAACAGGCCCATACTTCTGGTTCCTTTTTACATAATGTAATTCAAATAATTTTGATGAAGTGGCAACTTCTAAGAGGTGAAAAATAAAGGAGATGTAGCACCTCAGTCTTAATATGCTAAACTTTGGAGAAGAATTTAACTTCACAGAAACTTCTACAAAAAACACATTTCGTCACCTCCACCAAAGTATCACAAGCGCCATGCAACGTTTCAAAATTTCCGCCGCCGATTTATTTCTTTACAGAGAAATTGTTTGTTGAATCTGTTTGAAAATTTCACTGAATTTTATCGGCAGCACAAAGAAAATTCAGTGAAATTTTTGGACAGCTTCATTGACTAATTTCTTTGAAAAAAAATAAAATGGCAGTGAAAAGTTTAGAACGTCACATGGTGCTTGTAATACTTCGGCCAGAAGGTAACGATGGGCTGAGCAGCTAGAATGGCTGTTTCGTGCAGACTGCATTGTACTCCAGCCTATTTTCTTCTTGAAAAGAAATGTGGATATCTTTCAGATTTTGAGCATCTTGATTATCCCAAAGTATTTTTATCCACAGATAAGAGACTGACCTTGATAGAAGTGATAAAAAGTCCACCAAAGAGCGCTATTGGGTACATAAGTGCAGATGGAAGCAAAGTAGCCCCTGTAGAATCCTCTCATACCATCAGTTTTGTAAATGAACAGTCCGATATCAAGTGTTGTCCGAAATTTGGATTTTGCTGGGTCTATCGTCATTCCGAGGGGGCTTAAAATCATCTGCAAAAGAAGGAGGAGGTTTTCTTTTTTTTGATGGATTTAAGAGATGATTTTTGAAATAGATTACTCTGAGTACTTGACACACAAACTATAAGGATTCTAAAAACTAAATTGAAGAGTTTTGAATCAAACTATCAGAAACTTCTACCTAACCAAAAGAAACTCTTTCCTTTTGAAAATTGTTGCGAGCAGCTGAGAATTTCTTTGATTAATTAAATTTGAGCATGAAAAGTAAAAACAAGCTCATTTAACTATTAACTGTTGACTATTATCCAATGTTGGGTGTGCCATTTTCAAACCGTTGCTTTTTAGTACTTTTTCCATTCCATAAGGCCCTTGCAATCGCTGTTTGGAGGGGATTGCATTTGTTCAAATGACTATAGGCCAAGCAGTAGGAATAAATTTGTTCCATAAAAAGTACAGTCAAGAGTACAAAGTTTCTTGTTTTAAAATTAAAGAAAAATCTAAGGAACACTAAAGGACTGAAAACTTTCATTTTGATTCCACAGAAAGGAAGGGGGGATCCCGAACAATGACAGCTCTAATTAAATAACAACAGTTTTACTGAATTTTAAACCTAGTTTTTAGTGTAACAGGGTGCTTCGTAAATTTTTTTTATCTCATTGAAAAACTTTGACTAATGAGCTCACACTGAACATTTTAAAACGTAATTGAGGCAGAGTTGGGTGCACGTACTTCAGAAATTACTGAAATTGGTGCGGAAACTCTGACTGGACGCTCGGTCCTCAGAGCTCTCTACCTGAAAAGATAGATCAATCGTCAAGTTATTCGTACGACTGACGATTGATCGAACGTTGCTGATGGACCAAATAATTTCTTGATGACTAAAATTTAATTAAAATTTCTTAATAAATGAATTCTTAATAACTTTCCCGACTCTGAATTGAGGTGTTCTATTATTTGGATGATTAGTGATTACCTTCTTTTGAGGTTGTGATTGTTGAGAGACTAGTCCGAGCACCATCAGATGTTGACTAATGACATCGAATGGCACTATGATAGTTTGACTGACTAGGGCAGCAGCTGCACCAGCCGCAAAGGATTTAACAGCATTGGTTGGGTTGTACTGACTCACAGTATACCGGGCACCTTCGTAAGTAGCAATGTAACCAACTCCAGACAATATCTGCACTGAACTCACCCAAAATCCTCGGTAAAGGCCACCGATACCTTCTGACTTATATATTTTACTAAATGCATCTATGAGACCTGAAATAATAAACAGTCTGAGGATAAAACATTGAATTAAATAAGAAATGATGCATGAAATGTGAAATTAAGTACAGGACGTAATACCACCCATGACGTCAAAAAAAAGTAATGGGTCTGGAAAAATTACTGATTCAGTTTTTATATAATTATATTTGTTTAATTCAAACAATGTTTCAAGTGCTAAAATATTAGCCAAGATTTATGGAAAATTCCGCCTCTTTCAATACAGAATAAACTGTCTGCATGAAGAAGTATTGGTATTTTGGAGGGAAAAAATTAATGCTGCAGCACAGCTACTCTTACTCTAGTGTACTTAATAATAATTATGGACACATGAATGGCAAGAACTGATATGAGGGCTTAAGATTATGCAATAATTGCTCGCTGCCATAACATGCAATTCAAATTTCGTTGCTCAAGATAAATATCTGTTATTGTTGATAAGTGAATCAACAGTTGGCTTAATGTACAGAGACAGTTGGTGCATAGAGTGAAAGATGAGAGAGCTGAATTACAATGAAAGATGAGCTCATGAACAGAAAAGAGATAACTTTCAAAGGCAGACTAGTTTCAAGGTCTCTTAAAGTTCATAACCTTGGACTAGTCAACGTTCCTGAACTTTCACCTGTGACAAACTTTTTGGCAATGGATTGGTAAACAATGTATGAAAGATGTGAGGCATTATAGTGTAAAATCCGTGCATCTGAGTCGGGAGTTGATGATGAAGACTGAATGATGATTTTCTGATGTAACCAGAATCATCAATTGTACAATTTAGGAGGGGCCCCAAGAAATAAGCAAGTTACAGAAAATTACTTACCTCCGTACACTTGGTCATGTTTTTGAAGCTGCAGCCTGGTTTTGATTAGAGTCAAAGGATACAAACTACACCGAACGCTAAATGAGCTGAGCATGCTTAGCGGGAAAAATTTGGTTTTATCCAGCATTTCCCATTCTATGGTTTTTATGTATGATGCTGTGATTTCTTCGGATATTAGCTGCGTCATGTTGGCTTGAAATTCGACGAGTAAGAGGAAAAACTCGGATTATCAGAGAGTCATAAAAAAACATTTCCAAAGGCTCTGAAGTTATCAACTAGTTCTGGCCATCACTAAGAGACATCAAAACAACAAACCATTCTAAAAAAGTTATGTTAACTGAAATTGATAGACAGGAACAGAGACAGAATCAAGAACATGATAAGCTGATTATTATCATATTAATTATTGTTTGAGTACTTATTGTCACGTCATTACAAACACAGTTCTTTCACAAAATTATTCCATTTACTGCGAAGCAAAAAATAACATAACCTCTGAAAATGTTTTTGAGTGGTTCACTTATCCATGTATCGAAGTCGAACAGAAGGAACAGACCCGGGAATTTTGTAAACATCAAAAGAGCGCTAAGTTTGAAAATGCGGGCGTGCTCAAGAATACCGCAAAATAAATATTGTTTCATTTTATTGTCCTTCTAGTGATGAAAATTGAAGGAAATACACCTAGAACGATAGACCATTCTTTTGAAATTTTTCCATCTTTTGATAAGTTGTGCAGGGTGATAGGTACACTTCAGAGGAACTACAGAGGAATAATCGTATTGTAAAAGATAACCATCGATCATGCAGGCAATTAAAAAATTAGTTTTTGACATACTACGGCATTAAAAAAAACCATCATTAGACTCAAGGCTCGATTTTTCAGCCATGCTGGTGAAAATGTTTGCGATAAAAATGTCGCAAACATGCGGGAGTGATTCAAAATGGCATAAGGGGAATATCCCTAGAGACATGGTTGCCATGGTAACTGTTATGTTGACCGTGTTTACAAAGTCTAGTTCCCCAGCTGGCCTCTTAGTTCTACTCAAAGATCATCGAAATGTGTTTCAAAATGAAAAGTTTTTACTTCTTTAGATGACACATCGCCTTGGCGTCATTTTCGAAGGCCCTCTTTGACAGAGCGACAGAGTGCGCTCAACATTTGAGCTCGACTGAATTTGAGAATTTATCATGGTGAGTACACTCATTTCGATTCAACATTCTTAATTTACTTACATGAAAATCCCTTTGATTATTTAGATATAGCGGAGCAAATTTGAGTGCCATAGTAATGTTGTGTTTTCGTAAAAACAATATGTTGTTGACCAAAGTTCAAAGCCACGTACCTATCCATTGTTTGCAACTTTTGTAAACTTCCTGTCATACTTTGTTTTTTTATGTGGAAACTAGTCAACTTAATTCCTTAGAAACCTCCTAGATTTTTCTTCCTTCTCAGCAGAATATTCCGTAGAAATTGCAAGTTATATATCTGGTCAACTTGTTTCTCCTCGGAAAAATAAATTAGAAGCAGAGATTTAGAAACACCGCTTCAGAGATACACGTAGTTGTGCACTTTAGCCATTATCGATAGCCAAAGTGTAAAACCGTACGAATCTGCGTTTGCGACGTTACAGACCTCCTGTCATACCTACTTTGTATTTTCATAGGAAAATTAGTCAACTTAATTGCTTGAAAACTTCCTTGATTTATCAACCTACCTACTAGGTTAACGAAAGTTTGCTTTGTTCTCTTCGGAAAAATCAAATAGGAGCGGAAATTTTGAAACACCGCAATGGAAATACGTGGACAAATTGCATCCAAGAATCGGATGAAAAGTTTGATAGTGTGAATTGAGCTTTAGTCCGAGTGGAGTCTGTTTCTGTAGAGTCTAAAAACAATTATTTTTTTTTTTTTGTGACAAGGACCCAAGTAGCAGTGATCGCGATAAATAGCGATTTTACCGGTTGGTTATCGCGATTATATCGGTGGCGATATATCGAGATTTTATATCGCCTTAAAAATTGCAATATATGACGATGAAATCGCTACACATCGCAATTTTCGGTTCGATAAAATCGTGATTTATTATCGTCGAAAAAATAGGGATTAAATCGCCATTTATCGCGATTTTTATTTCGGAAATATCGCGATAAATTGTCGGGCGATAAAAGCGCGATCGAGGATAATTGCTCGGATGTTGATGACAGGGCCGGATTTACTTACTTGCCGCCCATGGGCCGCCTAGAGTCCCTTTATACTGAGAGTCAAGACAATTCGGCTCATGGATGTCACAAACGGGAATAAAGATTACAGAAATTGAACGTTTTTCGTAATCTTTGATCGGCCCATTCTCAAATGCCTTTCTCCGTTCCTCCTCTCATTCCGTTTGTTCCTTGCCGAACCCGTAATTCCCTGGTCCATTCCAGATTATAATCTTTGCAATTGGTGAAAATGTAATCTTTATTCCCGTTTGTGACACTGTGGAGGCCTAAAATACGGGAACCAATCAGAAATGGATTCAAATTGTCTTGACTCTCAGTATAAAGGGACTCTAGGGCCGCCTGTATTTTGCCGCCTCCTTCTCATTCGTTTTAAAACATCAGTAAAAACCATCAAGTGAACGTGACGGAGGGTATGAGACGCGTTTACTCGTGTTGGACACACTTTTTGCGAAAGCCCTGTCAACACTACTTGCAAAAATTCATGGGACTTTGCGCAAAAGTTAGGTTCATTAGAAATGAAAGAAAAAATTATGAAAGAACAAACATAAATATGGTTTAATAATTTTAACTTCCGCCGCACCGCGCCGACGGAACTGTGTTTTTGCGCAATGCGTGAAGTATTCCTACAGTCTTGCAGGCGCTATGCGGTTCACGCCGACCGCTGCTGAACGCACTGTGTTTGACGTAATGCAGGGAGTATTCATGCAGTCTTGTAGGCGCTAATATGTGTTTCATGCCAACCGCCGCGCCGAGGGCTTCTCCTTTTCATCTCAAGTTCTCGTCATCATTGCTCTTTGCGCCGCGTCATTTCAGGCCAAATTGCGTGTTCGGTTTCTCTCTTAACTCGACTAATTAAAGGTGATGTCTCTTGTATCACCGAAAGACAACAAAATTAGAAATTACTATACTCTCATGAAATGAGAGTTTTCGTCGCCTTTTCTCGTTTGTAATTTTTTTTCTTAATCCGATTTTTTTTATACCTACATTTAGAAAAGTGCAAAATTTTCCGCCCCCTTTTGCCGCCATGGGCCGCGGCCCATGTGGCCACCCCCTTAATCCGGCCCTGCGGGCCGATTATCGAAACTGATAGACAAAGCTATGGACAAAGACGACAAAAGGGATTTGGAGGGATCCTATTGGTGGAAGCAGGTGGTGGCAATGGACATAGGAGGTAGGTAATGGACCAACTAACGGCAACCCACTAAAGACCCGACAGTTAGTCCATAATTTTCTTCCTTAGTCTATAAGAACCAACCATGTCAACCAATAAGGTCGCTCCATACTCCCTATGTCCTCTTTGTCTATCGTTTTGTCCATTAGTTTCAATAATCGCCCCACTCAGGTTGATGATCCTGGCGATTTTATCGCCGATAAAATCGCAATTTATAGCGATTTTTCCGCCGAGAAATGCTACTTGGGGAGAGGTTAACTTTTATTTTTTACATTGAGCCTTATGTTTTCAGGGGCCAAAGAAGAAGTCGGGGAAGGGGAGCAAGGGGAGCAAGGGCGGGGGAGGGGTGATCGACGGAGTGCCCATGGCCGAGATGTCACGAGAGCAGCTGGAACAGTTCACGCTGAAGATCCGACAGGAGCTCGAAAGGGAGCGGGAGGAACGCAACTTCTTTCAGCTGGAACGCGATAAGCTCCGCACCTTCTGGGAGATCACCAGGCAGCAGCTCGAAGAGTTCAGGGCCATGCTAAGGTGAATTCAAACATGCAAATTTCACTCACTGGAAAAAAATAACACATTGGATCTAGAGTCCAGACTCTTGAAAACATTGACAAGAAAAAATACTCTTGATTCAATCAGATTTAAGCTTAAATCAAAAGGAAATCCGCTCAAATTAAGAGGCTAGGTTCTTGATTTAATCAAAAATCCGATTGAATGAAGATTATTTTTTCTTGTCGATGTTTTTAAGAGTCTGGACTCTAGATCCAATGTGTTTTTTTCCAGTGCTTAGTTTTATTAGTGAGTGAAAATTTATGAAATCGTCACCTTCCGGGCAAAGTATCACAAGTATCAATTTATTATTTTACAGAGAAATTGTTTATTGAATCTGTTTTATCCTCTAATAACATGCTAAACTGCAAGATTAGCTCATTGCTTTTTACCAACGGTCGGACGCGCCTTCATTTCTTTGAATATGCAACGTGGACTCCCATAAATCACGTATAATTGCATCTAGGCTCCATAATAATTGAATTCTCAATCTCTGATCTGTATGCTAAGATGAAATCTTTCGTTTCCATTTCCCATTTTATCACAAAATTATCACAAGTATCAATTTATTATTTTACAGAGGAATCGTTGATTGAATCTGTTTTATCCGCTAATAACATGTTAGACTGCAAGATTAGATCATAGCTTCTTACCAACGGTTGGCGCGCCTTCGTTTCTTAACGTACTATGAAGCAAACTATAAAGCACGTATAGTTGCATCTAAGCTCCTTCATTGAATCCTCTAAAGTGAAATCTTTCGTTTCCATTTCCCATTTAAGTATTTGATGACAAACCTGATCATTAAAGTATTTGATGATAAAATTTTATCTTCCTTGAAAGCAAAGTTTAGGAATAATTTAAAAGATTAGAAACGTTTGGAGTCTAAAATTCTTCAGAGAAAGACTATCCGTTAATAACATGCTGGACTGCAAGATTAGCTCGTGGCTTTTTAACGACAGTTGGCGCGCCTTGATTTCTTTGAATATGCAACATCAACTTCCACAAAGCACGTATAGTTGCATCTAAGCCCCCTCAATGAATCCCCGATGTCTGGTCTGTATGCTCAGATGAAATTTTTCGTTCCCATTTCCCATTTATGTATTTGATGATGAAACTTTATCCTCCTTGAAAGCAACGTTCAGAAATAATTCAACAGATTAGAAACGTTTGAAGTCTCGGTAAATACTTTAACAAAATGCGAATCTGACTTTAAGGCATACAAAATCGGAAACTGCGCTTCTGGGAGACTGGTTCGTCCATTTGTTCTAAAAATTCGTGGTATGGATTTTTGTGGAGGAATTAGAAGGGGAGAGTGTAAAATTTCATTGCATTAAGTAAGTATTGTTAATCGAATTCACTGATTTGCGCAGAAACAAAGACAGAGCAATCGAAGTGGCCGAGGAAGAACACCAAAAGGAGGTGAAAGAATTCAAGCAAAAGATAAAACACTTGATGTACGAACATACCACACGTCTCACGGAATTACAAGTAGGTTCATCCATTTTTTTCCTGTTTTCTTTGGGCACTGTACTAGTGTACTACCAATTAATATTTTTTTAAAGGACATTAGCCGAAGATTTTCTGTGCATAAAAATATGATCATACATTTTCCTCACTTATTTAAAATCGACCGAGAATTTCAAAGGAATTTGTGAGATTAGTAGTTTTCTTTAAAGAAAATCAAATCTTCACCTTCCGGCCGAAGTATCACAAGCGCCATGCGACGTTCAAAGTTTTCACCGCCATTTTATTTTTTTACAGAGAAATTGTTGCTTGAAATTGTTTGAAAATTTCACTGAATTTCATCGGCAGCATAAAGAACATTCAGTGAAATTTTCGGACAGCTTCGTTGAACAATTTATCTGTAAAAATTAACATGAAGACGGAAATTTTGAAACGTCGCATGGCGCTTGTGATACTTTGGCCGGAAGGTGACAAAATATGATCGGGGATTCATAAACGTAGCGATGTAGATGTGTCATTCGACTTGAGCCATCTATATGTGCATTCATATTAAACGGATCTTTCCCTAGTAGCAATATGGCTCTTAAAAAAAGTTCTACAAAAAGTTGTCCAAAAAAATGTAAAAAACTTGTAAATTTTAAGAGTTCAAAATTTTTAAGTAAAAAAACTGTTAAAATACTCGTTTTAGGAAATCCTTTTGGGAAATTCTTTTAAGTAAAGTGTTATTTTAATTAAAAGAAAACGTAAAATTTACGTAAAAATCAATAAACTATATCCTCAATTTATATGGGCCGCAACTATTCCTTTAATAATTTTCTGTTCACCACTTTTTTTCCTCGTTTTTGCCCGCAGGAAACTAAAATAAATACGAAAATTTTACTTAAAATTTACTTAAAAATTTTCTTCAAATGTATGTAAAAAAAGCTCCAAACAGGGTTTCCTTATACGAATATTTCAATAGTTTTTTTACGTAATTTTCAAGTGGTTTTAAAGTAAATTTTAAAATTTAAGAGTTTTTTACAACTTTTCTCAGCAGCCACTGCTACTATAGGGTTTATGTTAAAATCAAGAATTTATAAGTGAGGTATCGCAGATTCACAGAGCGAAATTGATATGATTCTGATTTCTGATGGGACTTGAAAGTTGAAGAATCTACCTACACAAAGGAGAACGATAGGTATTATCTCTGAATTCATTTGGGTTTCACTTTTCTTTCCAGGCCGAAAATATGGTGATGCTCCGATCCGAACAGGACCAACACAACGAGGAAGAAATAGAGTTGCTGGAAGATAAACGCGCCCTCAAGCGGACCCTCCGCGAGATGAAAGAAACTCAAGACGAAGCTATTCGAGCCTTGGAACTGGTACTTTCACCCTATTATTTGCATCTATGTTTTTTTGGACATTCGAACAATGCACTATCGAGTCGATTTAGAAGATGAGAACGTGAACCGATTGACATCATGAGTCGATTAACAGACAAATGTCCGATCGAAACCTCGTGGGGGATGGTAGGAGGTAGGAAGGTGGGGGAAGGAGGAAGGGGGGAGGGGGGAAGGAATATCCACAAGTCAATTGTGTTAAAAAAAAATTCGTGCACTCACTTGCGGTAAAATTTAATTATTGGAGACTCGTAATTTGCAATAAAATCGCGATTTTATCGACGGGGGAAGAGGGAAGGAGGTAGGGGGAAGGAGGAAGGAGGAGGGGGAAGAGGGAAGGAATATCCATAAGTCAATTGTGATAAAAAAAAATTCGTGCACTCACTTGCGGTAAAATTTAATTATTGGAGACTCGTAATTTGCAATAAAATCGCGATTTTATCGACGGGGGAAGAGGGAAGGAGGTAGGGGGTAGGAGGAAGGAGGAGGGGGAAGAGGGAAGGAATATCCATAAGTCAATTGTGATAAAAAAAATTCGTGCACTCACTTGCGGTAAAATTTAATTATTGGAGACTCGTAATTTGCAATAATATCGCGATTTTATCGACAGCAATTCACCGCAATTCTGTCGGACAAAAAATCTTTATAAATTGAGATGAAATTTTTTCATCAAATGCGATTTTATAGAGATAAAATTGCAACAAGCTCGACGATAAACGCTCAGATGTCGATGATCCTCGCAATTTTATCGCCGAAATATTGTAAAAAAAAAAAAAAAAAAAATCGCAACTTAATTCAAAACGATCGCAATTTCACGGAAAACAAAATTAAATGTTAATTTAGCATTTAAATTGTCAAAAAAAGTCCATCGAGTTTTAAATGGTGCTTTTACAATACAAAAATGCTAACTCAACATTTGAATATGTTCATCTGACTATACTGCCGTCCACAGCAAAAACGCCGTAACTCCACTCAAAATGTTCTCCTTTTTTCCAGCACGCAACGCTCCATTACAAAAAAATTCAATTGCACAAGACTTCATTTTTTCATTTTTAGTTCCTAATGGTGTGGTGGCGTTGTATTGAAAAATGAAGGATGAATATTTGCTGGGTTTTTTGTAAAACAGCATTTTGTCAGAAGAAAATTGAAAACATGTTGAATAGAGATATGACGTTTTTACTTTGGACGGCAGTATATTAGCGTAGTTAAGTTAGCATTTTTTAAAATGTAAAATCAGCACAGGGGCGGACTGGCAGTCGAAAAGTTAGGAGGCGACCTAAATGTGGGGGCCCCTCCCGTCGTTCGGGGGCCCCTCTAAGAAGGTCCGGGGGCCCTCCCTCGGAAAACTTTGAAAATTTCACACTTTTTAAACGCAATTTTAAGCATTATTGGAGTTAAATTCTACGTACTTGAACTTCAAAATAACCCATTCTCAGGATTCTTCGGGGGCCCCTTCATCACATAAGCTTTAGGCGACCTTTCATGTCTCTCAGAGACAAATTGTCAAGGATTTTGGGGTCTTTTAGTGACTGAAAAGGATAGGAAAAAAACAATGACTCGAAAAAAATTTGCCGCGGGGGCCCCTTCTGGACCTCCGCGGCAAATTGTTAGGAGGCGATCGCCTCCCCGCCCCCATGGCCAGTCCGCCCCTGAATCAGCATTTGAAACTTGTCGGACATTTTTTCACAATATAAATACTAAATGAACCGCGTTCAACAGAGAGGAACCAAGCCACATCAGATATTGCTAAATTTAACTGGGCAATTTAATTTTTTATGAGAGAACTTTTGTGCGGATGCCTTTGAAAATTTTAAGAAAATTTGCTTCGCACTGTGGAGAAAATTCACTGAAATTCGCACAAAAATCTGCACAACCGTTTTAATGTGAAAAATTAAATTGCCTAATTAAATTTGGCGGTAGCTGATGTGGCTTGGTTCCTTCCTGTTTAACGCGGCCCATTTTAGCGTTTAAACTGTCAAAAAAAAAAAAAAAAAAAAAAAAAAAAGTCCATCGAGTTTCAAATGGTGCTTGTACAATACGCAAATGCTAACTCAACACTTTAATGAGTTCATTTTGCTGTAGGCGTAGTTAAGTTAGCATTTTTTTAAAATGTAAAATTAGCATTTGAAACTTCTCGGGCTTTTTATCACAATGTACTTAAATGCTAGATTAACATTTAATATTTGTCCGTGTTTTCCATTGAAAAATGCTATTTGGGTTGTGGTCGTTGGTTGCAGGAGCACAGCTCGAAGCTGCGGAGCTTGCGGGAGAAGTACGAGTCGGAGAGCGTGAACATGGAGGCGGCGTACAAGAAGCGTCTGGAGGAGCTGCGCGAGTGTCTCACCGCGGCGCACGACACGAGCTCCAGCGAGCTCGAGGAGCAGAAGAACCTCCAGATCCACCAGCTCATCGCAAACCACGAGAAAGCCCTCGAGGAGATCAAGCTCTACTACAACGATATCACCCTCAACAACCTCGGCATCATCTCCACGCTCAAGGTAGGCAACCCCTCGTACATCCTCTGAGGGTGTCGCGACCTATTAGTCGACGAATGGAGATGTTGCATGTGTGAGGGATTTGCGATTTGACCATTGCTTCTTAAGTAAAAGTTTGCGAGAAACACGATGGTGCCACTGGTTTTCTCTGAAATCAACTCCCAAGCACAAAAAAAGCTCTCGAAGTGAGGCCAAAATGGAGGGGACATCCCACCCTATCCTGAGAGTCCACCTCTACATCAAGACAAACTCTCCATGCAAAGATAGGGAGCAAATACATTGGCAAGGTTGCCGTGTTTTCAGTTTTGGAGTCTCCAAATAAAGAGGCAGCCCTGTCAATGTATTTGCTCCCTATCTTTGCATGAAGAGTTTGTCTTGATGTAGAGGTGGGCTCTCAGGGTAGGGTGGGATATCCCCTCCATTTTAGCCTCACTTTGAGAGCTTTTTTTGAGCTTGGGAGTTGATTACAGAGGAAAGAGGGTGGCATCGTCGTGTTTCTCGCGAACTTTTACAAAAGAATCAATGGTCAAATCGCAAATCCCTCACACATGTAAAATCTCCATTAGACCTATACAAGTGGCCTACAAAAGGTATAATTAAAATGTTCTGCAGGTAATAAATTTGTAGGGGTTTCAGGACATTTTGTCAACGATTTTTTGTCCGCGCACGTTTTTTGTCCAGTAGTTTACGCCCACACGTAAAATAAGCAACAGTGACTTGGTCCATCAAGCGTTATATTTTAGTCGGTATTAAGAATTATATTGACAATATGGAAATGAGAAATTGAGAGAGAGAGAGAGAGAGAGAGAGAGAGGTGTTGTTAAGGTTGCTCATTTTCTAAATGAAGTGTTATTAATTTCTCCTTTTGAATAATCTTTTTAAATTGTCATTGGTGAAAATTTGGTTTTATTTCTATCCTTAAAATATTCGATGTACAATATACCTTCTATATGTATAGGTACTTTTTTTTATTTTTTTAATTTTTTCTTTACAAAATTATTACTTCGTTTTGAAAACATTTATATTTTTAAAACGTGGCAAATATTTGTAAAACCTCTTCCAAGCGACATTAATCTCAATGAGCCGCAGTTGTGTCGACAGAAACTGCAAAAATGAATAAAAGAGGGGAAAAAACCAAGAAGCACGTAATCTTTAGTTTTAACCCATTTGTACATCGATCTTTAAGAGTCAAATACGTCAAATTTTGAGCGTTTGGTTGCGCGTACACCTCGCTGCAGCACAATAAAAGCACAAAATGTAAAAAAAAAAATTAAAGTGCTTTGGAAATCATTAAATTTGACACGGAACCACCAATATTTAAAAAACACACATTATATTATTATTCTCCTTTGATAAATTGATACATATTTTTTCCCATCAATTTAAATGAGAATAATCAATGCAGAGTTTGCAAACATTTCAAAATCATGAGTTAAAAAACGCTGACTATGCGAGTATAAATAATTAAAGCCTAACAGAGCGGAGCGGCGCGTGCTGCCAGCGCGAGAGGCTCACTGGCGCCTACAAACCTAAGTGGATACTTCACGCATTGCACAATGCTTGAAGTATCCACTTAGGTTTGTAGGCGCCAATGCGCGTTCCGCGCTGGCCGCCCGCCCGCCATGCGGTGGGGCCTGAAGCAACTATTTCACAACAGAGGTGTTGCACAGTATTATACGAAATTGAACGTATTAAGAATGACAGGCATCCATTAAAAGTACAGATCTTTCCTCGCAAAATAAATCAGGATACTCATCGTACACAGGAAAAATCTAAGAGCCTTTAGCTGAGGCGAATTTGGGCAAGCGAAAAGAGAGTTAAGCTAGGATGGGTGACTTGGAGACTCAAACGCAAGGGTAGAAAAGTAAACCATTGCGTGGAGGCTTATTCTGCTCGCTACAGTCTATTTCGTGTGTGATTATATTGTCTTCCAGTGAATAAAATTGTACTGTGTTGCTATTTATAATTTGAGTGTCGATTTTCTTGACAGGATCAAATGGTGGAGATGAAGAAGAAAGAGGAGCGAATGGAAAAACAGATGGTGGAACTGAAACAAGCGAACAAAAGCTTGGTCGAACCGCTCAGGGAGGCCGATAAAGAGCTCAAGGAACTCCGAAAAAAAGTTAACAATTATCAACAAGAGAGGCAGATGCTCAATGTACGCGCATTCTAAATTGGTTTACACCTTCTACCCTCTAGCTTTAAAGTGGAAACTTATTGGGGACTGTGGCCCTCCCTTTGAAATGTATATATTTAAGAGCTCTCAACAGGAACGTCTCATTATGCACTGGAAAAAAAACACATTGGATCTAGAGTCCAGGCTCTTGAAAACATAGACAAGAAAAAATACTCTTGATTCAATCAGATTTTTGCTTAAATCAAAATGAAATCCGCTCAAATTAAGAGGCTTGGTTCTTGATTTAAGCAAAAATCCGATTGAATAAAGAATATTTTTTCTTGTCGATGTTTTTAAGAGACTGGACTCTAGATCCAATGTGGTTTTTTTTTTTTTTTTTTTTTTTTTTTTTTTTTTTTTTTTTTCAGTGTAGACGTATGTTCCAAGGCTTTATTATGTTCACCTAGCACACTTCCCTAGAAAAAGAACTTAACGGAGAACGTATGTGACTATCCTAGATCGCTCCCACACGTTTCTTTTTAAGATACCAGTGCTATGCAATAGCCTCGCCGGAAAAAGTATCTGCTTTTCAGAGAGTCTATAATGCGGCAAAAATGAGATTACAAAGTTATTAGTAGAATAATAGCAAACATTGAAGAAAACCTAGCAGATGAGGACTCATTGTTATATTCACAATGACTGTAGAATACTATCGAGAGCTCATTCTGGGTACATAAAGAAACGCAGAATTATACTGCCGTGCTAAGGGAGAACGCTGTGTGGACTTCCGAGAGTTGCCAAATTTCTTCGGATAAAACATGTACCTATTTTTGAGGAAGCTGTGCATGTTTTTCTGTGAAAATATTAGATTTGTTATATCAAGTTGCGAACAAAATTTTCTGAAAAAGTCGACAAAAAATTTTCAACATTGTTCCGGTAAATTCATTTATTAGTGAAGGAAATCTGCCATTGTCTAAAGGATCCTACGGCATTTTTCCTTGGCATGGCAGTATAGAGATCGGGTTTTTGAGCAAATGAAGAGTATTCCGTTTGAAAAAGAAAAATTAAAATTTGAAAATAGAATCACGGCGTTCCTGCAGCGCGGTCGCTGCAGGATCCTGTCGTTACAGGATTGTGGTACAATTTGAAGGCTTAATCCGATTTCTTTCATTCTTTTCCAGATAACCAAAAAACAGTTGGCTGCAGCTAGAAACGAAGTCAACGATTTAAAGGCTCACTACCTTTCTCTAGAAGTGCAGTTTGAAAAAGTGAGTAGGATTGCGGCCATTGGGGTTTTTGTAATCGGCAGGGATTTGCGATTTACTTAATTACATTGTCGTGTGTAAAATTTTGTATAAAACACGACGGTGCCACTGGTTGTTTCTGGAACAATTCCAAATTTTGACACACACACACGTGAAAAAAAGGGGGAGGGGGATTATTAACGCAAATCTCTGGCGCATGCAAGAGCTCCACTCAAACTTTGAAGTGAGTGACATTATAAATGGACTGAGTTAAGCAGAAAGGAACCAACCCACATTTTGGAAAAAATTGAGTTATGACTGATATTAAACTTAACCACTTCTCTAGGTACTATCTATCGCCATAAATTCGAAGTTTTTGTTGGAGCAAATTTTGCAGAAATTGAACTTGAAGTTTATCTTTTACATTGAGTCTTATGCAGGAGCCAAACTTTAAACCTCTTTTTCTCGGTTCGATCCCGATGTGGCTTGGTTCCTTTCTGTTTAACTCCGTCCAAATACAAGTAGAAAACGAAAAAACTAAAGGAAACCCATTTTGTAGAGTTAATTTTAAATAATGTTTAAGATTATTGAAATAATTTGTTTCTTCACAAATGAAATCTTCGTCGCATGATGAATGTTGAAATTAAATTATATATTTTCCTACTTGCGGATTTTTTTTTTTATCAGAAAACAACAGTTCCAAAAATATTTAACTTTTCAATCACCCAGTTGATGGTAGGTATTTCTCCGATTATGAAATAAAAACTTTTATCAACAAGTATTTTTTTTATATAAATTATATATTACAAATATAAATACAAATTATATATTTTCCTACTTGCGGATTTTTTTTATCGGAAATAATAACAACAGTTCCAAAAATATTAACTTTTCAATCACTCAATTGATGGTATTTCTCCGATTATGAAATAAAAACTTTTATCTCCAAGGATTTTTTCTCACAAAGGCCAAAGAGAACACGCGCATCGATTAGTTCGTGTATCTCAACGCCTGGCAACCTGGATGCAACTATTACTGCTCCTGGGCTGTCTGCGTTGCATATACAAAAAATGAAGGCGATTTGGATTTTCATGTTACACTATTTCCGTTCTTACTTATTTCTTCCCCCAAAAAGAGCTGAATTTCTTGGATATTTTCAAGGAGGAAGTTTTGAGGGCCGGTGTTCCTTGATAAGCTCAGACTTCATTTACTCAGTTCTTAAATTTTCTTCTAGGTGAAAAAGGAGCGAGATGAGTATCATGACAACTTCGTGGCAGTTATACTGGAGCTGCAGCAGAAATCTGATCTTAGGAATAATATATTACAGAAAAAAATGGAAGCCATGACAGCTGCTATTGAGAAGCGTGAGGCACAACTCGCAGAATCCGCTGGAACCGCCAAAATTGATCCATCTTTCAGCAAAGTTGAGGTAAGAACTCGAGATTCCCAGATAAGTTACATGGTTGCCACAGAATTTGGAAAATTAAATTCCCTGCGACACATTTTGGTGAAATACCCTGACAATTACACAAATGCTAGATTCTTAAAAAGACATAGTTTGAAGTTTGAAATAGTTTTCGGGCAAAATTTGTCGTTCGAAACGTCAAACTCACTCGAGAAAAGCAAATAAAGGTGACTTGACAATTTTCCCCTGACATGTTCGTTATTTATCCTGGCATTTCCAGGTTTTCCCTGACTTTAGAAAATTCTCTTGACAGTTTCCCGATAGTCCATTATCCTAAAATATTTTAATAAGAGAAGCACCTTCAATTAGTAGATAGGCAACATACACAACACTCCGATGCAGTAGCAATTATTTTACCACATGATCGCAAGTTATTGCAACGTGCAACCTGTGCTAGCCATTTGGGGTCAACCGCAAGGTAATTTAAAGCTGTTTTGTCTTAAGACCCTTTTAACTACCTCTGGAAATTTAAAACTTAGAACGGACGTTTTCGAGCATCAACCTCTTCACTTCCCCAGGACTCCAGGTTTCACTTTTTGATGTTACCTATTACCGAGCAAGTGTTTAATGGAATAATATTTTTTCTGTCCTAACAGGAAATTCTAAACGCGAAAAATTCGCAGATCAAAAAGCTTCAGAACAAATTGGCGGTCGTCATGAAAACGCATCAGGACAGAATGAATCATTTCAAGTCGATTCTAAGTGAGCATGGGTTGAAGGTCAAAATGGAGGACTTCGCAGAGGACCTCATTTAAAAATCAATTAAAAACCTACAACTGCGAAAGCAGATTCTCAGATTGAATAGAAATCATCCAATTGCGAAATGACGTATCTCCGTTCGGTTTGTTGCAGACTGCCTGTCATAATTTATTTTTTTATTTTAGTCGACGTAGGTACCTAATTTCTTGTAAATTTCCTTGATTTTTCTTCTCTATAAGCAGAATATTCTGTATCAATTTCAAGCTATAAAATTGGCTTGTCTTAATTTAAAATAATAAAACACGAGAGGGAATTTTGAGGCATCGCAAGGAGATACGTGGTTTTGCACTTTGGTTATCGACATGTAAAGGTGTGAAATTAAGAGATACACAACCCAATGGCCCGATTTAACAATAAAATACAAGAAAAAGCATGTATATATCTCGGCTAATGAATAGTAAAAACACAACTAGAAAGTTTTGGGCCAATTACATGCCCAGTTTCAAATGGAAACAAGCCTAAAAATTAAAGCAAGAAAATATGCATGCAACTGAGATGTGAATAAGTGTAAACTCCAAGTGCAGGAATGCCTGCCTTGGTCAGTTGCATGCTCATTGCCTTGCGTTAAGTTTTAGCCTTGTTTCCAGTTGTGAATGGGGCATATAACTGGCCCAAAACGTCTTTGCTGTGGTTTTACCATTTTTTGGGCTTGTCATGCCCTTTTTTCATTGTTTTCTTTTTGTATTGTACATAGGTTTATACATATCGATGGTGAAATTCTCTAACTGCATATCGCGGTTTGTGCAGTTGCCAACTTCCTGTCGTACTTCATTTGGACAGAGTTCATCAGAAAGGAGCCAACCCACATTAAGTTGAAACTGAGAAAAAGAGGTTTGAAGTTTTCATCCTGCAAAAGGCTCAGTGTAAAAAATAAACTTTAAACCCTCTCTTCACGATTTTATTTCTTTTTTCCTACTCTCACTTTTGGGTAGGAGAAAATATACGGCTAGTGGAACTCAAAACCATTCTTAAATAAATTTTTTCGAAAATGTAGATTGGTTCCTTCCTGATAAACTCGGTCTAATTTATAACTAGAGAGCTATACAATGTGAATTCTAAAAACCTTCCATGATTTTTCTCTTCTGTGCAAGGCAAATCTTGAAAAAAACTTTGGGGAACGATGCTGATTTTGCTCTTCTGTAAAAAATACAATAGAGGCTAAAATTAAAACACCGCAGACGAGATACAAGCTGCAGAAGTTTTGCTATCGATAATAGGCGAGCATTGATATTTACTCTGAGGATTCATTTAAATTCAGAGGTCTATTCACGCAGGAGAGTTCATTCAAAAAAATGTATCAGCAAGTTCAGTTCAAAAATTTAATGAGTTTGACTTAAGTAAGAGACTTGCAGATGATAAAGCAAAAATAAAGTGGACATTTTACGGATCTCTGAAATATCTTCTGTACAGGAAAAGGAGATCAATGCCTTCCACAGCTCAAAATTTATCAAAGCTTAATGCATGTTCTTTGCCTCTTGAAAATGTAATATTTTCTGCATAATGAGATTTTTTTATTCTTTGCCTACAAGTTGCTGCATATATATTAATCACTGTGAACTTTCATTATTTTTAGGGCTAAGCTTAATATCTGTGATAATAATGGGTATACCTCCTTCGGACAAAAAAAATCAAAGGAGATATCCTTCCCCTACTATAAGACTTCTATGTATGTTGGTTGTATGAAAACATTTGGTTGAATATTGTGACAAACGGAATAAATTACTTCCAAACAAAATATATAATAAAATTTCTGAAGCAGTCTCTTCATGGTATACATTTAAAATACTCTNTGGGGGGGGGGGGGGGAGGGATGGATTGCTTAGTATTCTTTGTTCAAATTACATATTTTACAAGTTGTATGACTGCAAAATCAGAGGAATTGTGCCATTAGATTGAGATAATTTTCCCTCTTAGTCAACAAACTAACTAGATTATTTTGCAACTTTAGCGTGAAAATTAAACTAATATCGAGTATCATAGTTAGTATACGACTCATTTCATTCTGATTTGGAGAGGGAATCCTGAGGTATTGTTCCTGAAAAATACTGAAAAAGTTGGTTCCTTTTTGCTACACTCAGCTTAATTTTTCATTTATCAAAAATTGCTTTTTTTTTCTTTTCGTTTTTTTGTTGGTACCAGCAATGATGAAAGATTGAACCGCTTCTAAAAAGTCAAAGAAAAGATACCCGCTAGCATAGAATTTCGAAGTTCAAAACTGAGAAAATATTCAGTGGTTTAAAAAAGGAAGAAAATTCGAAACAAAATTAACTTTAACCATTACGCAAAGGATCCTTCTTCCAATTGGACACGAGGAGTAGAGACAATTCAAGATCAGACAAAACAGTTTACCAAATATAATAGTAAGTTTATTCAATTTATAAACAAACTAAGGTTTCAGTTGCAACAATATTAAAAACCAATCATTAAAAAGGTAAACAAAATACACCAAAATATTGAATTAACTAATCAATTAATAACCTATATGCGTGTAGTATTATGTACATTGGAGTAGATTCAAAACTGATAAATTGCGTGGAGCGGTGAGGGCCGCAAAATAAAAAAAAAACTGATGAAAAAGGCAAAAGAATAATACTTAACATTAGCTTCTGTTTATCCGAGCGCAAGAAATTAATTCAGATGACGAACGAATACGTAGATAGAACAATGAAGACAATAGTAATATGTTGATTGAAGGTATTTTGACTGATTACTTATTTGAACTCATACCTTTTTCTCAGAAAAACAATTGGAAAATGTAAAAGTGGGAAAGGTCTAAAATGCGTCTAAATATACAATTTGTCATTTATATTTGATAGTTTAGATCATCGTGATTTCTGTGCAAAACAGGGGGAAAACGTCTTGAAAAGCATAATTATACATAAAAGAGAACATATTCATGTTGCAACTCGGCAAAATAAAAGAAACAAATAAGTTTACTTGTGCTTTCAAATTGAGCAAAATTGATTCCCAATTGTCAACTTTGGAATGATAAAATTTCTCAGTCTAAGGAGAGAGAGAGCCATGACTAGAATATTGCAGTGTCTTATCACAGGCCTCAAATTATCTCAAATTTATTAATGCTGGAGAACTCAAGTTATAATTCTAACGAAAATCAAGACATTGACAAATTTGTCAGCAATAGGAAGCAGAAATTACTTCCTCTTAGTTCATAATGCAAGAATTTAGAGTTTCATCCAACTACATATCTGAAAGTTATGCCATCAGATCTATAATTACGCAAGCAGCTATTAAAAACGAAGATATCAAACTTATTCTGATTCTAACAACAATGAACTAAATTTTCTTGCGCCCGGACAAATCAAGATGCGTACTGTTCACTTCAGACTGAAAATTACATACTACAGACAAAATGGTTAAAGAACCATCAGAAATTAAAGGATTGGGCAATTTTACTGCAAACTGACAAAACTGACGTGGTGAGATTGATGCAAAGAAGACCAAAAACAGGACTGAAAGTTTTCGAGAGTAGATTACAACAAAATCTGCCGATCGCCGAATTCCGATATTCGGACGATCGGCTTCATCCATACTTAAATGTACAAACACGCACACACAGAGCACTCAAACCCTGACTTGGAAAAGTTCCTCAGACTTTCAGCGGAGGTACCGTTTCCAGACAATTTTTTTTCGTTTGTAAGAACGATGACCCAGCGCATTAAAGTTTTTATCGATATGAGTCTAGTCCTCCATCTCTACGAAAATCAAGCTGCCTTAGAAATGGTAACACTGCGTATCAGGGAAGTAAAAATAGTATAAAAATACCTTTTAGCAATTTTGTTGCGACTGCAACGCTTGGTTGAATCGTAGAATATAAAATCACAATTGATACATACATACATACATAGTGTAGGTACAGAATAAATATCCAGTATGTACTCGCGAAGTTATATTCACAAGAAAGGGAGTGATTAAGTCTCTAGACAAATTTCACTTACAATTAAAAAAAAACAAAAATAAAAGAGAAGAAAGAAAAAAATATTTTCTTGGCTGAAGAAAAAATTAACAATTTTTTGAAATTGTGAGGAAAAGAGGGACGTTTTTCAGGAAAAATGCAAAAATATTGATTAAAAAAAAAAAAAAAAAACCAGGCCCAAATGGATACTTAACTAAACGCTTGGGATTCCTGATGTTCAACACCTTTTGAGAATTAAACACGATAAAGATTAATTTAAAAAAAAAAAAAAAAAAAAAATTCAGCCTTGTAGTTTCAGTTACAGACAAAGAAAATTCTTGATGAAATAATTTAAGGTGAAAATAAGAGGACACAGGGCCAATCGATGAAAGTAAAACGAACATAAGTAAAGGATCTGTAATCATTAGATGGGACACACTAAAATTCTGTTACATAAAATTTATCTTTAAGTTGGAGGCAAGGGTTAAGTTACTGAATAACCATGGATGAACCATGAGCGATAATGAATAGAATTGAAAGGGACAAAAAATAGGGGTGCGATAGTTGAAAAAATCAGTTCGGTTTGTTGATGTCTTCTGGATCGTCATCAAAAAGAGCATATTTGTTGACTGTTGCAAAATTCTGAAAAAGAAACAAAATTTGAAAAAATTATTTTAAAATAAGAATCACCATGAAAATTCGACCCCAAGCGTTTTAAATCCGCGAAAGTTATTTACCAGGAAGATAATTACATTCTACCACTTTGCGCTCGTACTCCCTAAACTAGGATTATCGATTCCTTTCAACTGACAGACAATTCAGATGGTACGCTAAACATGGAATGAATTTGAGCCCAAAATCTTCAAAAAAGCAGCTGAGAAACAAACCCTTAAGCCTGGTAGATTGTCAATAGACAGATAAAATTTACTAATAAACAAACAGACGTGTTTTGATTTAAAGAAAGCATACTTCTAACGGCCATTATGATATCATCTTCAGATTTTTCTTAAAGAATAGTGCATTGATCCCAAACAGGAAAAGTTGACACAAGAAAGCCATGTTGAACCGCAGCAGGAGCCTCGTTTTATTGGGGGGGGGGGGTTTGCTTCCCCCGCCCCACTCCTCACTGTTACAATGGACTGCTGAATAAGGGATTTGAGGGGGAGAGAATTCTTCTTTGGACTAGCCTCTTTATCATTTAAAGGAAATGAAATCATATAATGGTCTTGGTCTCTGGTTAGGCTGGGATTCAAGCATTGACTTATAATACAATCTTGACCGCGTGCTACAATTTTTTAATGTGACAATAGGCAACCAGGATTGCATGTAGTTCCAGCCAGCTTGCCAAGTTGCCAGTGTCTTTGTCAAGGTACACTCTACTACAGGTATGGACTAAAGGAGTGCCGAAGTGGCAGCACTGAGAACATAAGCCATCGAGTGACGTCGCAAGTCATGGTCCACACTACATGTATATCAGGCTGTATCATATAAGCTGAAGGGGCGTCTTTACCTCGCTTTACCCCCCTAGCTGTCTTACCTCTCCTGCCCAAAGTCAGGCTTAGCGCGCGGTCTAGATTGTATTATAAGTCAATGGATTTAAGTGATTCAGAGATACTTACAGGAGGTTTTTGTTCTTTAGCTTTGAGCATTTTTGATGATTGGATCTCTTCAGATGGTTCAATTCTGAAAAAGTAAAAATATGACTGTTTGAATACATACAAATTTTTAGGGACCTGCACTAATTCATATACTATGGACTTTTGCTAAACTTAGGACAAAATTTCCTTGTTAAGAGACCAAATCATGGGAGAAGGCATTCAGTAGCAGATTAAAATATGACGAGCATTAAAAATGACTGGAAAGGGTTAACAGTTAGAAGATCACTTATGTTTTAGTGATTAATGGATTTGTCAGGAATTTCTTGACTTTTCCCGGTATTTCAGACTGCCAACGACCCTGCTTCTATAGCATTTTTCATCTTCACAACTCTTTAAAGCACAAAAATAGCATATCAACCAGAATTAGGAAGAAAATGAGGTTATTGAATGTTAGAGATCACGATTATTAGAGCAAATTATTGTGATGGATCACAGCATAATTATTGTGCTCAGTTGCTCACACTTCCTTTAAGTTCACCGAAAAATAATTTATGGTAAAAAATGCATACACTGTGGCTCAAGATTCCAAGTAAGATACACTCAGAAGTTTAGTTTTCAGTAAAATCACGCCGAAAACATGGCAATGCCATGTTCAGTCAAAAACGTGTTGACAGAATTTCTAGAAAAGTCATTAAACTTGGCATTTAATTTTCCAGATCGAATGGCAAGAGAAAAAATGCAGGACTTTCGGACACACTTGCCAAACAACCATTCATTTGCCATGAGCAATTGCAATCAATGTTTGCGATACACGCCAGCCAAACAGCAATTTGCCAGTAAGAAATTACCTTTGGCCGCTATGAAAATCGTTCTTAAACTCCGTGTTGGGGAGTTTTTGGCACATTCTGCAAGGTGCCACATCGTCTAGTGTGATCAATTCAATTTTCAAATTTTCATTTCATTATGACCCCCAAGGAAAAAAAGTTGCAAGCCAAACGGCTGCTAAAACTTCATGCCGAGTTTCAAACACTGATTGCAATACTTAATTTTTCACTTACTTTCCACCTACAGGTTAAGCAGGAATTTCAGCCACAATATTTGGCTCGAGAATGCGATCTTCAAATAAGACCCACACAAATTTTTAGAAATTAGACAAGCTACAGTGCACGGACAAAGTTACAGATTTCATGAAGACTCGAAATAAGCACCATCACCAAACCAAAATACCCCATTACAAAAACCTCCACTAGAGCAAACACACAGTACTTACTTGAGAATATGCTGCTGATTTGCAGTTAACTCCTAATTTTGCACTTGCTGATGCCCCGATTTCCCTTGTTTTTGTCTCCTGTACCAAACAAGCAAGACTTATAATCATTATGCCCTTTGAACACTATCCTAAGCTTTTAAATGTAACTTTGAAAAAGTTATTTTTTTTTTTTTTTTACTTGAAAGTAGTTTATCAAATTAGCAAGCAGGGTGTCTAGTTTTCTTTCATTTAGGAAAATTCGAATTTTTGACTGCTAAATCCTGATTTCATAATTTTTTCAAATTCTGATTTTTTGTGGAGAAAAATTAAAATTTCTGCACAAAGGTAACTTCACAAAAATAGCTCAATAAAAATATCTGATCGTACTGCTGACTTTTCTCAAATCCAGATTTTACAACCGATTTATCCTCAAATCCTGATTGACCTAGAATCCTAATGCTAGACATCCTTACAGCAAGTCTTGTGGAGGAACAACATGACTGATGAGAACTAGAGAGCGAAAAGCCCTGTGCAAACATACGAAAAACACAGCAAAAATAATGCTTCGCGAAAAGCTTGAACAGACTCAAATCACACTCCTCCCGAAAACAAGTCAGTTTATGAATTCCGGTGTAAAAAGACTATCCAGCCATCACACAGAAACAAAGACATAGTGATTTTTATCCAGAATGAGCAGTTTGTTTCTTCAGTTTTTGAATAGCTTTTGAGAGATGTCGAGCACTGAATTGATGAAGAAATCATTCTTTCCAAATTTCATTTAAGAATTCAACCTTGCTTAAGACTGGAAAAATTGACTTAAGTACAACACTCTGCTTCCGTGGAGGCCTCCTTTGAAAGGGAACACACTTTATTCCGGATAAATCCGACGGCTCTTTCCCATACTAAATACATGTACTATACTCTTTGTTCACCGGACATCTCCCTGTACTTGATTAATTTTTTGGTTCATTGAAATTTGCTACATAGAGAGAGAGTACTGTAAAATCGCCTTTCTGTTTTTCATTCTAAGTTCACTTTTTCCATCACAAGTGGATTTTCAGTTTATAAAGAACAGAGATTTTCAGCACATGGCTATTAATACCTTTCCGAAGCCAAAGAGATTTTCAGACATTTTAGCTCCTTCTTGAAGAGCATCTCTTTTCCCCTCGGACATGTGACGAGTTAATACACATGAAGAACACTCAAAACTCCCACAAGAATGCTCTGACAAGCAATGAAATACTCAAGATAAAAAATTCACCCGTGTGGACATGTTCTCATGAATTCAACAAGGACTTTCATGCATTCATACAACTTTTCTCAGAGACCCAGTACATAAACGAATATTTGTAGACTTTCAAAGGCCACAGTAAGGCAAACTGCTGGACTTTCTTGCTTTTTAAAACTGAAAATCATCAAACTCATCGAATTCCATTACTTCAGAGGGCAAACAAGGCAAATCTAAAAATCTAGGTGTACACGGAGGCCTGTCTACTGATAAAAAGCAAGACCAACAGACTAAGGAAGACGTGGCAAGCTTAGTCTAGAAATTGATCGAAACTGTACCTGGAGACTTTGGTGCTCCATTCGCTGTCATCACCGTCACCTGATGCTGGCTCTTGGGGGTCCTGCCGTTCTTGCAGTTGAGGTTTGACTGGCTCACTCGCTTTTGGAGGTGCACGATTGTTCACGGTTGTATCTGCAATAAACGGAAATAATTTAATTTAAATTACAGCCACATGTTGTTTTGATCCAATCAAAGAGAACATAGAGTCGTAAGGTAAGTGGGAGAGCTGGCACCACTTTTAAGCATTTTCCAGGTCCCGAATTCCGAGACTCCTGTGTGACGCCAGGTCACTTTTTTTATACATAATCGATTGTCTTCGATACGAAGGGACCTGACCATCCGATATAAACAAAGAAGATAGGAATTATTAGGTATTCCCCACTGCCATTTTGGACCGAACATGTGTCAAAAAAGTGACCCGCGCTTGGCGCACACCGGGCTCGGAACTTGTCAACCAGAACATGGCGCCAGCTCTCCCCTTTACATCACAACTCCATGTTCTCTATGGATCCAATATTTTCATTTTACGTTCTAGTCCTAGATTAACCAACTATTTGTAGCAGAGAATAGAGAGGCCTGTGAGGCAAGGTGTCAAAAGTACCTAAAAAGTGGTCAAAACGCCAGGTAGAATGCAAAAATATCAGTGCCATATATTAGAGGTATTATTTCACAAGCTGTTTCCATATCATGCCAGATGGGTAATTTCCCACCAAATAAATAATAAAAGAATAAACATAACAGGATTACAATGAGAGCTTTGGATAGTATCAAGAAAGTCTAGCTCTTATAAAAAAATACATACCGATACTTTCAGCTGTTTTTTCAGTTGCCTTGCACCGGTGGTTATGGTATAAAAGAAGAAGTAAAATTGTCTGTGAAAAAATTGTCAATGAGCCACTTAACTACCCACTTTTGCCACTTAAGAGCTCCACTCCTCATCTACACGATCAATTCTCCAGCAGTGTCAGACCACTACTCCCATGATCATAAATATAATCATCGAGATTATGGAGAGCTTAAAGGACAGTTCTTCGAAAATTATTTGCTCAAGCATAGAAGAGAATTGAGGTCCATCATAAATTGATCAGGTCATCACTCTCATCAGACCACTACTCCCAAGATCAATATTCTAATCATCAAACCATGTTAAAGTGTCACTTTCCAAAAATTCATACCTTTCCAGTTTATCTCACCCTAAAAAATAACCTATGATTACGCAAATGAAACCAAACTTTTTACCACCCTTTATAGCCCCTAGATGAATCAAATATCCCAAATTATGCGAGAAGTGCAGGGAAACTGCGGTATTCAAAGATGGTAGTTGAGTCCATCATAAATTGATCAGGTCATCACTATTATCAGACCACTACTCCCAAGATCAATATTCTAATCATCAGACCATGTTAAAGTGTCATTTTCCAAAAATTCATACCTTTTAAGTTGATCACACCCTAAAAAATAATCCATAATTACGCAAATGAAACGTTGCTTTCTACCACCCTTGGTAGCCCCTAGATGGATCAAATATCCCCAATTTTGCGAGAAGTGCAGGGAAACTGCGGTATTCAAAGATGGCAGTTGAGTCCTTCATAATCTGATCAGGTCTTCACAGACATCAGACCACTACTCCCAAGATCATTATTCTAATCATCAGGACTCAAGTTAACAAACCCTTGCAGACCCTTCTCCTTTAATCCAATTCACTTCGAAAATTAACCTAAAAAAAAACCCCATGAAACCTGAGACTTACCACTTTTCTTTGACTCGGTGATAGGTTGTGAATTCGTTTTAGCATCGTTGGAGATGATTTCTTTCGGTTTACTAGGTTCTTTTGCCGCTGGCTCGACAGGAGCAGCTTTCGGCTTAATTTCAGAAATCACTTCTTCCTTCTGTTCTTTGGGCTCAGAGTCTACCTTCTTGACTATCTTTGATTCATCCGATTCAGGCAGACCATTATTTGCCTGAAATAAAGATAGATGACCTGGTGTTAAAAGGGCATTTCATCTAACAATTCGTGACAGCTGGTCCTTTCAAACTTAAGTAGTTCCTGACGTTGGGTAGACCCAGATTGCAAAAGGTGCCTGATTTAGCATTTTAAATTATTGCTGAGAAAATTTGCATTCAGTAGGAAGTTGGCAAATATACCTCGATAGGGAATTATCTGCATCCTTCTTTCAAAATTCTTTGGTTGGTGTGTGAAGGAGGAAAAAACCTAACTTCTTTGGCAAGAATGTTCACTATTAACCTTCCCTTGACAACACTAGATTCACACACTTCAATTTTATCAATGAAATACAGTTAGATGTTTTCGAAAGAGATTGATTGGTGAATTTGGAGATTGGTGAAAAACAACTGAGCAACTTGTAGGTTTACACAACCTTCTGTTCAAAGACTTTTTTTGCAACAATTTCAAAAAGACTACAATTTAGTCTCCTTGTTAGATGCATTGAGTGATAGAAAAAATTAAGGTGTTTGACTTCCTTTGAATTCGATGATGAATTATGGCACTCTGAACATTCCATCATTTATCTACTACCCATTCAGTACAATTTAAACAGCTATGGCTCCCACTTACGCAGCTTTTGGCATCAGTCAAGTTCGATTGTTAACTAATAGCCAAATTTTCAAAGCTGATATGATTGCTGCTATTACAAACTCATGAAAAACTAACTTGAAGAGAAGAGGAAAAAATAGAAATGAATTCACCGATAATTGAGGGCGCTTGGTCCAAGCGTTTTCTTTCGGAGGTGGTGCAGGCTCAAAACTTTTTTCTTCTTTTGGAGGTTCATTCTCTTTTGATGGCCTAAAAATAACAGGAAAAAATACATAAGATTAGTCAAGAGAAAGCTCGCAGAAAAATGTATTTCAAGCCTGGAAGTATACTTTCAGTAGGATCGCAATAGAATTTAATCGTAGTTTTCAATAGCTTTTCATTGTCAGAAACTTAATATTGGATATAAGATAAAAAAAAGGACACTTGAAATCATCAAAACAACTTTTTCTGAATTGCCGTCTTTGCTGAATTGGGCATGTATAGTTTGTTTTCATAGGAGTTATATTTGAAGGGGGGGGGGGCCTATAAAAGCACTCGCTTTGCGGTTTTTTTCCCATTTCAGAGAGTCTCTGTAGGACACAAGTTGAAACATAGATTAGAAAGATGAATTAGAAAGTAAATAAATGTTTTTCTCTTTAACAGACCTTCTATTAAACAATGTACACTTAGGAATACTGAAGCATTAAAACTGGCTTTGAACTCGAACTAAAAATCACATCCTAGGATTTCATTGAGGCCATAAAATGATGGAATTCCTGTGATCTCAGTTTTGGGGCAAAAAAGGTGGCTCACTAACTCTCTCAGACAAGCCCTCGAGTAAAGCTGGTTTCTTTCCTTGATTTAAAAAAAAATTGCAGGCAATTGTCTTGCACCAACTCATTTATTCCTTATTAGGGACATGTAATTGGTTCCCGCACAAAGAATGCACCTNGGGGGGGGGGGGGCCTGTAAAAGCACTTGCTTTGCGGTGTTTTTCCCATTTCAGAGAGTCCCTGTAGGACACAAGTTGAAACATAGATTAGAAAGATTTAAAAATTTAGTAAATAAATGTTTTTCTCTTTAAAAGACCTTCTATTAAACAATGTACACTTAGGAATACTGAAGCATTAAAACTGGCTTTGAACTCGAACTAAAAATCACATCCTAGGATTTCATTGAGGCCATAAAATGATGGAATTCCTGTGATCTCAGTTTTGGGGCAAAAAAGGTGGCTCATTAACTCTCTCAGACAAGCCCTCGAGTAAAGCTGGTTTCTTTCCTTGATTTAAAAAAAAATTGCAGGCAATTGTCTTGCACCAACTCATTTATTCCTTATTAGGGACATGTAATTGGTTCCCGCACAAAGAATGCACCTCGATTGTGCTCTTTCGGTACTAATTTGCATATGCTTTATTTATAACAGGAGAACCGTCTCAAAAAAAGTTCACAAAATTTTGATAATTTTTTTGGAGCCCTAGTGAAGAAAGACTAAAATTTTCAGAATAAGTTATGCGACGGTTCTCCTTTGAAAAAAAAATGCAGGAAGAAATACTGAAACAGCGCAAATGAGAGACGTTCTTTCTTGCAGAGACGATGATAAGTCCCTTTACAAACCTAGATGTAAGTGACATACCTGTTGTCTGAGTCTCGATCCTTAAAGTGGTCCCTGTCCCGGTTGAAAGGACGACGCCTGTCTCTGTCACCTCTATCACGATCTCTGTCACCTCTGTCGCGATCTCTGTCACCTCTGTCTCGATCTCGGTCACCTCTGTCGCGATCTCGATCACCTCTATCGCGGTCTCGGTCGCCTCTGGGACGGTCCCGATCACCACGTTCACGGTCCCGGTCACTGCGTTCACGGTCTCGGTCTCCTCGTTCTCTGTCAGCATCTCTATCGCTGCGCTCCTTTTCGCCGCCCTCCTTAGGCTCCCGCTCTGGCCTGCCTCGCGCTTTCCACTTTTCTTCCAGTTCCCTTTCTTTCGCTGCTGTGTCAACAGGCTTGGCGTTTCCAAACACGGAGCTTGGCACTACCTCTGGTGTGTTGCTGATGGGCGCTGTTCGCGGTTTCAGATTCAAAGGCTTACGTGTTGCTGGGGGCTCATCTCCTGTGGGAAACAAATTCAATTAATTTAAGTAAATGTGTGGAATACACAATAAAGAAATGAACTAATTTCTTCCCTCACCAAAAAGAAAAAAAAATAATAATTGTATGAGAGATTATACAAAGAGAAATGATTTGATGGCTCCTTTTTTGAGACCAGAGGTGCACATCATAGAACGTACTGATCACTGAGAATATTTCAAAATTGTACCATATTAAAAATTCTTTTTATTCCGCTCAAAAATTAGGGTATGTGTCATTAGAATTGAGTATGATAGAGAGGAACAGGGCAGTCTTTGGTAGAAACAGAAAAAAAGTAGGGTTCAAATATTCTAATATAAGACTTTACATTACAATTGACCTTGAGTCCATGTTTTGCATACTGAATCTATTTGCAAGTGGTAATTTTTCAGTTGAAGAAAAGAAATAATTGCGATCATAAAACCTCTCGTGAAGTAACATAACTTTCGTGAAATCTCTCTTTGTCAGTTATTTCAGAGAATGTCTCAATTTTTTACTACTGAGCGAAGTCAATCTATAAGTCAGAAAATCACAAATTCCCATTTTTCTCCTTTCTCTTTTGGAATTTTTGACTCTATTAACCAAAGCATTCATCTCATGCAAATTTGATTTCCAGGTTTTACTTTCGCTTCTCATCGTTCGAAGAATGATGAAGTAGAGCCAATTTAAACCTTAAAAAGTATATAGGTGCAAAACAAGGTTATAAAGTACTGAGATATCTCTAAACTCTTCGCAGCTCAATACATTAAATTATTTTAAAACCTGAAATTTTTCTTTAGTATTTCAGTGAAACTGATGACTGGCATCTGGCAAGGCATTCGTACAGTTCGATAGTGACTGGTGATGCTATATTAATAAACATATTCAATTGCCCATTGTCTGCGCATGCTATGAGGATGGTTTCCTGTAAGTCAAAAATGCCTTGAAGCTGGTATTTTGGCATTTTAGGCACACAGTTTCATGATTAGCAAATTTTTCTGGAAATATCTCGGTTTGCTAAGGATCTTTTTTCCTCAAATTGATATTGGTGATCGTTTGTTCAGCACTCATGATTTCAGTTCATTTCTGTCTTCTAGAGGAAACTGACTTAATCCACTGTAAAAGAAAAGTAGGTGTGGGTATGCTTTTCCCTACCCCATACGCCGAAACACAGGTTTTTTTTTCTGCCACCTGACATGGCACAAGATTAGAATTTCAACAACTTTGCAGTCTTAGCTGAAAATAAATATGACCGTTTGCTACAGATAAAAATGAGCTAAGAGCCACCTCACAAAAAGCAAATGAATCTTCATTCTTTCTGAGTTTTTTCGCACTAAATTTGATCATTTTCATCAGCAGCAGATGGTCATACGTGTTTTTCACTACAGCTCTAGTGGCCGGAGCGAAAATTTGCGTTTCGGCAAAAGAAGTCAGGAAGAGCATGACTACGCTGCTCTTATCTTGAGTATAATTGCACTCCTATGTCAGGAGCCAGCAGGCTGATTATTCAAATTGATGGGCAAAGCAATAGACCAAGAAGACGTAGGGAGTGTGGAGCAATCCTGTAGGTTGAAATGGGTGGTTCTTATAGACCAAGGGGGTGAATAATGGACTAACTATAGAGTCACTTGTGGGTTGCCCCTGTTTCTACAAATAGGATCTCTCCATATCCAGGGTGTCTACTTTTTTTTTATTTAGGGAAGTTCTGATGAAATCCTGATTTTTAACTGCTAAATCCTGATATCATATTTATTCCAAATCCTGATTTTCGGCGAAGAAACTATAACTTCACAAAAATAGCTTGATAAAGAAATTCAATCACACGGCTGACTTTTCTCAAATCCTGCTTGAACGACCAATTTTTCCTCAAATCCTGATAAAATCGGGATTAAATCCTGATTGACCTCAAATCCTGATGCTATACACCCTGATATCCCCCTCTTGTTTTTTACGTCTACAGCTTCGCCTATGAATTTCAACGATCAGCCCACAGGTTTAAATAAAAGAAAATTAAGAAACAATGATAAGATGCGCCGGAAAATTTGGTCGGAACATGTTGAGAGGATGGACGGGGAAAGGCTTGCCAAGATTTGTATGGTAGGACGACATCTCAGCCAAAGGCAACCCAAACGACCGCCCAAGAGATGGGCACAGAGCTGCCTTTCATCCACAGAGAATTAATCCCCTCTCATCGCCATCATAGTTTATTTGTCATATCTATGTACCTATTTAGAGGCTATACAAACCGGGTCACAACCCTAGTCAGAAGGTAGAAGAAGAAGAAGAAAATTAAAAAAACGAAATCTTACTCTTTTCTCTGACCGGAGACCCCTCTCTGCTCCCATCCTTAGCCGGCTCTCTCGGCGCAGGCGACGCATCCCTTCTCTCCTCCTGCCGCGTCGGGGTGACCGGCCTGGCGTTCGGCCTCGGCGTCGGGATAACCCTTGGCTCATCCCTCCAGCCCTTCTCGCTCTGGTCCGGATCCCCCTTGCGCTCGAAACCCATATCCCGATCCCTCCTTCCAAAACCTCGATCTCGATCCTCATCCCTGTCCCTCCTTCCGAACCCATCGCGATCACGATCACCGCGATCCCTGAACCCGTCCCTTCCTCGCCTTTCGAACCCGCCGCCGTCTCGATCCCTGTCGCGGCGTCCGAAGCCGCTGTCCCTGTCGCGGCGGTCGAAGGCGCGGCTCTCTCGCTCGCCGCCCATGTCCGCGCGCCAGTCGAGACTTCCATCGCGTTCGCGGTTCTTGGAGCCGTCCCTTTCGCGCTCGCGTTCCTGTCGGATCCGCTCGAAGCCGTTGCGGTCCCTGTCGCGTCGGTCGTCCCTGTCTCGGTCCCTGTCGCCGCGGCGTTCGAAGCCGCCGCCGCCGCTGCGGTCTCGAGGCTCGCGCCAGCCGTTGCTGCGTTCGAGGGGCTCGCGCGCGGGTGGGGGAGCGCGGTCGCCTTCGCGCCAGCAGGAGTCGCCGTCGAGGTCCTTGGGCTTCTCGTCGCGGTCGAAGCCGGGCCGCTTGGAGAACCCGCGATCCCGGTCGCGGTCGCGATCTCTGTCCCGGTCGTCGCTCCGGAAACCGTCCCGCCGGAAGCCCTCTGTAACAGGAGAGAAGAGAGAATTGAATTAGTAACAGCACATAAAATACAGACTTGGCATCAGGGGCGTAGCGTGCTTTGCGATCTATCGATATTTCCCCATTTGAAGCTGTGGTTAATAATCGATTATTAAGGAGTTCGCTGCGAACACCCTGTTTATCTATAGTTTTCCATAGGTTTAAATAGCCGATCAATCGATATATTGCAAAGCACGCCTCGCCACTGCTTGGCATGCGCATTTTTAATCGATTCGTCTGCACAGAAAAAATGAAATTGCTGATTTAACGATTCAATTGCTAAAAAAAGTGACTGCAATACTTCAACATAGATTTCACAAAAAAAAAAAAAAAAAAAATGCTACTTTGACCACTACATTTAGGAACTTTCACATCATTAAAGGATTTAAGTGCTCAGGTAAAAAATGTTTCTGAACTCGTGCAGACACCATGCATGTATAAAAAAGTAACCTAGGTCCTATTTCCTGGTCCGTGATTTTCACACTACTTACAGATCTATTAAAATGTGTTTTCTACAAGCATCCTTCTTAATAACATGACCGAAAACTAAAGCTGTGAAAATCTGAGAGATGTTTGTGTCAAAATATTTACTTCAAAAAAAGACCACTGATTAATCATTTATGTCCACATGATAGCTATAAAATTCAGTGGTCATAAAAATTGCAGAATTAACCTGAGAGATGATACGTCCATCTTACAGGTAAGGTCTTCGACTGGAAATGCAATGCTTCTATTTATTTAATGCAAAATTTGAAGAAACTTAATTTTTTCAGGCCAGAGAGAAAGACTGACAATAAGTTCTTTTAGGTAACATAATGGTAGAAGAATGGTGGGTCCATTATATTCTGAGCAGAATGGACCAGTAGGCAAGGCACAAATTTCAGCATTCTGATACACGTTTCATAACCAAAATGTCACGTAGAATACGATGCGCACAACGAAAATTACCGAAATCAACTCCTTACGGAGTTATTTAATGAGTCTTGATGCGTGAATTCAAACCATCCGCTCATGAAAACTCAATGCTCTACAAGACTCACATCACGCGCTAAACGTTATCATGACAGTCTCTGCGATATAAAAATCTGGCAACCTCAATTTTGACGCTTTGGCTCAGCTATAGCAAGTGGTTTATAGTTTGAATAATACATGGCGGGAAATGAACATTGCTCAATTGAGAAGCTTGCTGAAACTGTTGTAGTGCACAATTTGACTCACGTAGAGCTTTGAGTTTCTTATGAGCGGGCAGTTCAAAATCCCGTAACCACTGTACAATGAAAATGTTAATATCTTCGTTAGGAGTTGGTTTCAGTAATTTTCGTTGCACGAATCGTGTTTTACGTGAAATTCTGGTCCGAAAACATGCATCAGAATGCTTAAATTCGTATTTCGTCTAGTGGTCCATTAATGTCTCATTACTTTTAAGTAGTACTCAGGCCATATTTAAAATATTTTTTATTTTTTCTTTTTTTAAATTCTAGAAATCACTTGACAGTTAAGTTAACTCAGTAAAACCCTTCATCTTGAAACTAGTTTATTGACACAAAATTACTTGCCTCTTTCAGGCATGGCAGGTCTTGGGGCGTTTCGCCAATCGCTCTCGGTACGCTCTGGGTCCTCAGGATCGCCTTCACCCATGCGGCTGCCCTGGCGGTGACCCATGTCACGGCCTTGTCGGTCACGGAAGTCCATCGGTCGGCCATCTTTGTTGCCTGGCAAGTCAATTTTCATCCGACGGCCCTTCACATTCTGAAAAATTTATGACATCCGAGTTAAAGACCATTATGAATCTACCTTTGGGCAACCTCTCCTCCTTGGGCAGTTTTGGATTGGGTACCACCTGGGAAGAGGCGACGGGGACGTCCCATAAAGGGATGGCGGCAGGGCGTTAACGAAGAGATGTTGCGGTGTCAGTTGCCCGATAACCTCTGGGAAGACAGGCATATGTGACGTTTGGGTGTCGTAGAATGCCAGAGTGCGTTGTAAAGCAACTTTACATATATATGAATCTGCCTTTATTAAAAAAAAACCTTCAGAAGTACGTCGAAATCATGGTGTTGGGAATATTTGACATGCTTAGTTCCAGATAAAGAATCAAAGTTTTCTCCCATTTGTTCGAGATTATCTTGGGGGAATACTATACAATGCTCTGGGATCCCGGGTGTGAAGATCGAATTTTTCGTTTTTTAGCTGATTCTTTGGCATACATTATAATCTTCAATTCCAAAGATGTTCCTGATGTTTGTGCTAAAGGTACAAATTTATACGAAGCAGCTCGAGACAATGGTAACAGGAGAAAAACAAGGGGGAAAAAACAGGAAACAAGGCTAAAATACAAATATTTCTTTTAAGTATTTTCACTTAATTTCCGGTTTTTTTCCACTTGTTTTTCTCCTCTTTGTCCTCTCTGATCAGTGTAAGCTTTTCTGTTAATATGATGATTTAGAGATTCAAGTATGCCATTCAAGAAGTCAACAATGGCGGCTAAGGTGCAATGTCATTAATTTTAATAACAATAGGAATTTAAAATTTCTGCAAAATTAGAAAATGAGATTGTCTCTGAGCGCTGGAAGAAGAGATTACCAGATTTTTCCCCCAAATGTTCCCTAGAATGTTTCATTCCCTGACTTATCTGAATTTTTTAGGTCCTGAACACCATGGCTTGAAATTGACTGGTTTTGGATACAGTTGCCTACTTGCGCGCTCAGCTTGCCTTAAACATCATATCAAATTTGAAATAGCTGATCAAGGACAGTTTGACTCTCTTTGTTGCTGCTCGGAGCCATTTTACTACTATTGTGATGCATCTCTCTTTTTAACCTATACAAGGTTACAGGATAATCCACAACTTCCAACGACAGTGCCTCATGAGCAAAAACATAGACAGCCCATTACACACCTCAGGACATGTGAGGTTCCCTTCTCTTGAGAGCAGCAAAAGCCGAGAAATGAGTGCGATGTATAAGTCGGTTGGAGGTCATGCGTTTTTTATTTACTAATATAAAACCATGAAATAGATACTTAGAGACTTCGCAAGTCTTCTTATTCACTTGCTAAGAAAAACTCCCAGAAGATCTGAATTTTAGCAAGTCCAAATAAGTCTCAATTAGAACAAGCTTTCCACGAGAAGATGATGTTAAAGTTCCTTTGGGAAATTATATTAGTAGGAACATCATACCATGACGAGACTTCAAAACTTCACTTCCACTGAGATTTGTCTTCTTACTACATAGCAAAACGGCTAAAGTAAATAGAAGCAAAATTTTTGGTTTTTAAGTTTGGAACATTATAAAATTTGACACGGTGATAGAAACTTGATGAAGAACCTTACCATTTCTCCGATACAAAGAGCAGAAATGAGCTCCTCTCGGAGTTCGAACTCGATGTATCCATAACCCTTTAGTCGTGATGAGTTCCTCCCATCTTTTGGTAAGGTACAGTTTATTATCTGGAAAAAAAAAATTAATGTTGACTTCTGGTTTAGACCTACATGTTTGAAGATATTACGAATGCAACTTTGAAACATATTTACTATTCTTAACTTTTCAGACTTTTCAAACAAACATAGCCTCCACAGGCAGATAGATATCATGTACTTGAACTTAAAATCAATGGACCATTTCCTTCCAGAACATGAGCTAAACTTTCTTTTAAGAAAAATTATGTGTCTGATCTGGAATATTTATAATAAAAGTCATAAAATGTATAACATTATGAAGTATGCAGGATCTATAAAGAGAATCAGATTGAAAACTTGCGGCTCATTTGGCGACCTCAACTTATGGCTTAAGCTTTATCAGAACTCAAGACAGAAGGAGTTCAAGCCATCTCAAGCGCGATGCTCATCATTTTAAATTCTTCATAACAAAAACAAAAATAATACAAAGAACAATAAATTTAATAAGATAATCATGTTAATGTCAATCCTGTGTTTTTTTGTGTTGTCTTAAAATAAATGAATTTATCAGTCAAAAAATCAAATAGATAAATATGATTTATAAAAAAATTTAATTCGATCAGTAAAATGAATCTTTGATAGTTGAGCATATCAAGCTTATCATAAAAATGGCTTCATATACGCTAGATGGCACTGATCCTTATCATTCACGACAGAAACAACTCGTGTCCTCTTTCATACTGCTTTGTCATTGGAAACTCATTGAATTTTTAGGTATTTCAATAACCCAATGAACTGTTGACAGCTTCCGTAGTCTTTTTTTCATGTACTGACGAGACTTTTACAAAGAGCAAATAATGTTATGTTGGAATAAAATTGAAAAAGTCTACTGAAACTACATGGTTGCATTTGTTTCCGTGAATTCTGAATTGAAGATGCAGAAGTTTCTTGACCAAAAGGAAAGAGGGGAGGTTGTGTTAGTGGACTTTACAGGTTGCCACCGAATATAGAAAATTAATTTCCCTGACAATGGAAGATATGTCAGGTACCTACTTAAAAAGTTAAATAATTTGAAATAGCCTACAGGCAAAATTTGTTGTTAGAAACGTCAAACCCATTCTAGAAAGCAAATAAAGGTGACTTAACAATTTTTCCCAGACACTTTTGTCATTTTCCCTGACTTTTTAAAACTCCCTTATGTTTCTTGGTTTTTGTTGACTGTGGCAACCCTGTGAGCTATGTTCGAAAGAAAATTTTGGAACACTATGTCAGATTGAAAACTGCATGTCACTTGGCGAACTCAACTTCCCCAGAAGATGATCTTCAAGCAGTTCATTTCGATAGGAAAGGAGCTCCAGCCATACAATTCGCCTTATTATCATCACTCAACCGAAGACTTAAGACAAATAGGAGGTTGGAGAAAACAAGTTGTTTATGATTCTCTTTTCTCTAGATTTGCTCCAAAAATTCATAACTTTTATTAGAAATCATCCTGTTCTCAAGAATTTAATTCTAACTGTTTAATAATACCTGTGTATTAAAATACGTGGAAAGCAAACCCTTGGGTGTGGACACCCAGTTCTCAGAGATAAACAAGAGGCTCTTCATAGTCAGAGTTCCAACTTCACCCAAAATTGAATAAGCTATTTGACCAGCTTTTCATGCAATGACTCCGATACTTAATAGGGATAGATTTAAAAAGTTTAGAGTATATGAGCATGCTTAGTAAATTTTTTTAAAAAATCTCAAATGGGACATTTTGAGAAGCACTAGTCGTGAAGTTTCATGCATAAAATATTAACGTCATAATGCAATTTTTGGTTTCAGGGCACTAGTTTGAACTTTTATAAAGCCATCAAGCTCCACAGAATTTTTCAACTTCAAACCTTTCATTCCTTAATATCACAAAAATATCAGTTAAAATGTTCATTTGCTGCAGTTTTTGTTTACAATAATGATAAGCAAGAATTTACTAGGAAGAGCCACAAAACAAATCAGGTTTGCACCAATTCACAAGGCCCCATTCAGACCAGTGCTACTTCCTCTAACGTGTCAAAGCTAGATTCTTCAACATGACACCTGACGAGGTTAGAACATTTTTGAAATTTTTGAAATGATTCAGTTCTGACTGATTAAGAGACCAATTTGGGTGGCTAAGTTCATCGGCTAGGTTATGAACTCAGAGGCAAGGGCAAGTGGTTCATCTTATGAGTAAGCTTAAGAACTATTCAATACCTAAATTCAAAGATGGTGCTAAAAGGGCGTTTGGGAGAAAACAAATACTCACAGTGAATTTCCCGAAGTGATCTATGATTTCATCTTCGGTGATGTCGAACGGAATATTCGTAAGATGCGCCTGATACGGGGGCGATGTTGGCACCTGAGAATCGTCAAATTCACATTCTCGCGTGGACCTCGGCGCTTTAGGCAGATTGATGTCTGTGTTGACATTGCGGATGGACTCAATCAGTTCTGCGGAAAGACAGAATCAAAATGGGTGATATGAAAACCAAGCAGGTAAGTAACCACAGAATGAATACTGTGGGCAACAATTGACTATTATCTGTTCCTGTGGACATCGTCTCGAATGCGAAGCTTAACAAATTAAGGAGGCAAGAACGGTAAGAACAGGATGAGGTGGCTGAAGTACTGATTATTGCTGAGTTCGTAATCTTCAAAAAATTAACTATCTACCTCCACTAAGCCAATTTTGTTGGTTGAAGACTACTCACTTTTGTCACTCATTGCAACAAACACTGTATTCTATCATTCTATAACAAATCTTTGGCAGAAAGAAGAACCAAGCTACTTGTAACTATGGCATCTTGAATAATTTTCTACAGAAAACTATGAAGTCAAAGTTTGGGCTTAACTTGATGATTAACTCTTCCCTGAAAAAATTTGTTGTAGTAGACTGAGGTTCCTTCCTCTTTGGACAGCATCTTATGCATTCTGATGACATATTTTATTGCCTCCTCCACAAAATGAGAAAAGGGTCTGAATTTTTTTTAGCAAATTAGTAAGACTGTTCTTCCATGATAAAAAAAAAAAAAAAAGGTGTTCATAGAAATACTGAAACAGCGCAGACGAGAAACGTCCCTGAGTGCATGAGACAAGGATTTTAACAAGCAGAAGGATGAAGGGGGAATAAGAGATGCTAATTACTTGCATCTATACACTTGTCTGAATTACGGGCTAAATATTAGTTTTTGCGAATAAATCAAACGAGTACAATTGTTGACAAATTCATGAAAATTATCAAGTCCATTTGACAGTGGTAATGACATCATACCTACATTACATTCCAAGGCATAAACCTACATTTGCAGTCGATACAAAGCTGAAGGTTCCAAATTTTCCTGCAGAGGAAACTGATTAATTCCTGAGAAGCGGCCCTAATCTATATCTGATGACTCGCTATGTATCATTCAGATTTGAAATTATGTAACTTGTGTTCAGGCCATTGTTTGGACAAGATAACGGTTGTAACATGAGTCACAGGGGGAAAAGAATGGACTTTGGATTGGTGGAAAAAGGAATTGGAGAAATCTTGGATCTGTGAAGAGTAAGTAGGTTACAACGTTGATTTAACAAAGCCCGACTTATATTCACAGAGTACCAACAGGTACAATTCACAATGAATTGATTAAGTGGCTCAGAGCTGAGGTGCTTCGTAAAAAGGAATACCTTGAGCGCAAAAGGTTTTCAGAGTAGATCACTCGGAAAATAATTCTTGTGTATGGTTAATTGAGTACTACTCTACAAGTTGTTGTAATGAAGAAAAGATGATATTCACGGGAAAGCTTCAAAGTTTACTGTAGGCGTTGTAATGAAGATAAGATTATATTCACGGGAAAGCTTCAAAGTTTACTGTAGGCTTTGTCTATCTTCATCAAGGTCGGAGTGGAAAACTTAATAGCTACAGTGAGTGGCAGAAACAATTTAAAAATGGCCATTCGATCAATCAAACTAGGAGAGTTACATCTCAAACCGAAAAATAAATGTGAGTTCTTAATATTTACAAAACTGATTCAACATTATGTAGGGATCATTCAGAGCGGAGAGAATTCATTCAGATTCAGATTAACGGCTCGAGTTTATAAGATGTACAGGCTACAGTGACACAACAAGAAAAATCATACTTTCACAATGCAAGGAGCGACTCTTTCTTGGTCAATAGATAACTTCCAGTTCAATTTGGAGGTTGCTATGGATTAGGGGAAACAACACTTATAGGTTAGATCATGAATCATTTTCGTCTATGCTGAAAGGTTTATCCAGATATGACAAAATGAGTAACCAGCAACTTTCTCCAGTTCAGGGAGAGGAAGCAAATAGTCTATCAGGCTTTCACAGAAATTGAAAATATTAATAGGGATTCCCCACTCGAGTGCGAACATTAATTTGATTCGCGAGGCACGAGGTAGAGACTTCGAGACCGTACAGAACCATTCTTGCATAATAAATGGCAAATTGCCATCGAGCAATACTTCAGCTTGATTTGATAATTTGAATAAAAACAAAAAGATGATGCTGGAGGAGAATGATTACTCACCTATTTCAGACTGGTCGGCCCAACTATCGGTGGAGAGCGCAGCGTTGGTGAAAACCGGGGGCCCAACGATACTGATGGTGGTCTTCTTTTTCTTCTTAGCTTTCTTCCCTGAAAGACAGAAAATTGGTTAAAATCGGGCGATTATGTAAGCAGGACTCACCCTCAATTTCTGACATGCTCTAGAATCTTTGAGTTCCATATTGAAAATGCAGCCAGCCCTGTCACAACCTAGATACAGGCGAGATGTGTATTTCATAGAAGGATGAGAGAATGGATCAGAAGCATGATGAGGAAACTAGGAACGTAAGAAAGTAATTTCAGCACTGGATACAGAATAATAGCAGAAATAAACATAGTGAAAGATTTTTTAAAAAATTTAACCCAAGGCTGGAGTGGACTCATGATGACAATCTGGTAGGTCACTTTTTGAACGGAGGGTCGGCGGGACGGGGTGAATTTATTTCAATCTGAGCAAAAATATGAAGAGAGAACACTTTTAAAATGTAGAAACCTTAGAATTTGATAATTTGCAGATAAATTGAGAACACGTGAACAGGATTTAGTACTAACCTGTAGAAGCCATTTTGGAAATTGCACGATCGGATCGGCGGAGGCCGGGCACCGTTGATCGGTGCGTTCGGGCCTGGTGGTGGCTGATGGATGTTGTGTTGGGGTGACACGTTGCTCCTTTTTCGGCGGCAAATTTGATTTGACGCTCTTTTTTCCAGTTGCCGTCATTTTGAATTCCCCGCCACACATCAGATTTCCCGCCATGAGCTTGTTTCCCGCCTAGCTCATTCGCACTTTCCAGTCGTCTCTCTTTCTCATGTACATCGTTATAATTCTAGGTTCAGAAAACGAAGAAATTTGAAATCAATTAGAAAAGCCGCACAGTAGGTACCCAGCGTAGTTTCTTTCAGTAAAGTTGCCCCACTTCGAGAAAAATATAGATTTAATTGTAATACCAATGCATGTTCCTGACACTATTGGTATTATTTTTAATCCGTTTTGTTGACGTTATTTTTTTTATTTTTACAAATTTTGCTGAGACATTTTGAAATTTCAGGCAAATTGAAATGATTGACTGTGAAAAAAATATATTCTACCCTTACAGATTGAAAAGAAATTAGTAAATGAAACAAGAGAGCCAACTTGACGTCTTTCCTTACTTGGATATTCCGTTATTCTGTGTTATTCTGCGTTATTTCAAAAACATTCTCGACCCAATTTTTTCATAAATGCACCGCGTTAAGCAGAGAGGGACCAAGCCTCATCAGCTGTTGCCAAATTTAATTTGGCAATTTAATTTTTTACAAGAGAACGGTTGTGCGGATTTTTGTGCACATTTCAATGAATTTTCTAAATGGTGCGATGCAAATTTCTTAAAATTTTCAAATGAATCTGCACAAACGTTCTCTTGTAACAAATTAAATTGCCCAATTTTTGGCAATGTAGCTGATGTGGCTTGGTTCCTCTCTGCTAAACGCGGTCCTAATGTGGGTATAGGTTCCTTGCTGATAAACTCGGTCCATATAAACTCCGACGGGGAATTTCACTCCTCGATTTTTAACGGTGTATTTCTGCCGTGCTAAGGAAGAACGACGTATGAACATTTGAGAGTTGCCAAATTTCCTCCCGGAAAATGTCCTTTTTTCTAGGAAAAATATGGATATTTTCCCTTGACTTTTTCAGGAACTTCCGGTAAAATTGCGAACAAAATCATCTGAAAAATTGGAAGGGAAATATTCATAAGTTTACCAGGTAATTAGTGTTTTATTAAAGGAAATTTGGCAACGCCTGAACGATCATACGGTGTTTTTCCTTAGCACAGCAGATTTGGTTGTTGTTACTTCTGTTCGACATGTTTGAATGTAGATTTTACAGTAAAAAAATACTATTTAACCACCCCCGTGGTTGTATTAGCTTTTCACCATCGTAAAATGTACACTTGAAACATTTCGGGCATATCTTTTAACTACAAAATTGTTCAATCAACAATATCATTTTTTTTTCGTGAAATTTGGTGAAATTCGTGTTTAAGAAGAAACTACTGAGTGAACTAAGAATGAGAATATCCTTGGTTTCTGAAATGAACAATAATTATTCTGTCGTGCTAAGGAAAAACGTCGTACATACATTCAAGAGTTGCCAAATTTCCTCCAATAAAATGTTCATTTTTGAGGGAAACTATGAATATTTTTCCTTGAAATTTTCAGGAACTTTAGATCAAAATATTAAGAAAATTCTCTGAAAAATTAGAAGAAAAATGTTCATGACTTTACCAGGGAATTTGTGTTTTACCAAAGGAAATTTGGCAACGCCTGAAGGTTCATACGGCGTTTTTCCTCAGCACGGCAGATTTGGTTGTTGTTATTTCGGAATTTTGTGCGTCCAGGTCCCGCCGGCGGTGGTCGGGAGTTGAACTTTCTCCCGCGAGATGGCGCGAGCGGCGGAGAAAGCTGGCGGGAGTCCCGTGCCCAGCTAAGCTCGCTCGTCGCGGCCGATCAAACCCGCGCTGGACCCCGAGGTTCGCGGTTCGAGCCCCGTCACCATCGCCGAATGAACGTGGAAATCGCCTTGCACCGTCGGAGCGTGCCTAGCCACTGGTCGTGTTAGTGTCGTTGTGTGTTTTTGTGTGTTAGCGGGCTTTGTTGTGGGGAAATTGTGTCGCGGAATCGCGGTTTTGTGTTGCATGAATGTGCACGAGGAGCCATGCTGGCAGCAATTGGGTCCCTGCGTCTACGCAGAGTCATGTTCCTTCTTCTGACTGGACTCAGCATAAGTGAGTGGCTCAGATATTCCTCTCTACTTCCAACGTGGAAAAACTTCACCGAAAAAAAAAGTGAAGTTGATTTAACATTCCGGATGTAAAAAAAGTGTGCGAGAACTCACGAAACGAAGAATTAACCGCTATGGCAGTTGTTTTAGCAATGTCAAGATGTAAAAGTAACTGCTATGGTGGGTAATTCAGCGTTGTGTGAGTTCTCGCACACTGTTTTTACATCCTGGAAAAACTTCACCGTAAAAAGAAGTGAAGTTGATTTAACATTCCGGATGTAAAAAAAGTGTGCGAGAACTCACAAAACGATGAATTAACCGCTATAGCAGTTATTTTAGCGATGTCAAGATGTAAAAGTACCTGCTATGGTGGGTAATTCAGCATTCTGTGAGTTCTTGCACACTATTTTTACATCCAGTATGTTAAAAATCAACTTCACTTTTTTTCGGTGAATTGCAGCAGCGGAGAATTTGCAGGTGTCTGAACACGGAAAAAATGGATATCCCATCTTCAAACACTTTTATTGTAGCAGATTAGGTAATTTAGCATATCTTTTCTACAATACTGCCGTGCTAAGGAAAAACGCGGTATGACCCTTCAGGCGTTGTCGAATTTTCTTTGATAAAACACGAATTCCCTGGTAAACTCATGAACGTTTTTCTTCTAATTTTGCAGAGAATTTTGTTCATATTTTGATCTAAAGTTCCTAAAAATGTCAAGGAAAAATATTCATAATTTCCCTCAAAAATAAGCATTTTATCGGAGGAAATTTGGCAACTCTTGAATATATATATATACACGGCGTTTTTCCTTAGGACGGTAGAATAATTGTTCATTTCAGAAACCAAGGATATTCTCATGTTTAGTTCACTCAGTAAACACGAATTTCACAATCACGGAAAAAAATGATATTGTTGATTGAACAATTTCGTAGTTGAAAGATATGCCCGGACATGTTTCAAATGTACATTTTACGATGGTGGAAAGCTAAGTCAACCACGCGGGTGGCTAAATAGTATTTTTTTATTGTAAAATCTACATTCAAACATGTCGGACAGTTTTTAGCTACATAATTGTTAAATCAGCAATATCATTTTTTCCCCGTGAAATTTTGTGAATTCATGTTTAAGGAGAAACTACCGCGTAAACCAAACATGTGAATGCCCTTGGTTTCTAACATGAGGAATCAGTATAGAAAAAATATGACCAAATTACCGAATCTGCTGAAATACGTTATAATTATAATAATAAAATTAAATAATATGTTTAAATGGGAGACGCCGCCTGACGACGTCCCAAGGTGGCAGATTTTCTCACTTTTAAATCCATTACTCTACCGTTTTCAATTTCGGAAAAAACCATGAAAACGTAGCTCACCAAGCACTCTCAGATGAAACGACAAAAAAAAAAAAAAAAAAAGTGCAAATCCTTTAACGTCGTGAAAAATTTCAAGAAAACGTGCATGCCTATATATTTGACTCTTTGCCACCCAACGGAGGCTACCAGAATTTTCCGGTCCTCATGATGGTCGCGCCGGAAGAGATTGCGTACCGAAAGGTAGGGGAGGAGGGGGGAGGGTACATGACCGGCTCCTGGAAATTTTTTGACGAAAGTGATCTCTCTGAACACGATTTACCAATTTTTGGTTGAATTTTGCCTGTGTTTGTTACATGAAAGGGGGAAAATAATACAATAAAAATTATACTTGAATGAAGCAAAAATTCTATAAATGCCCCCGTCCTCTCCAAAATTTACCACCTTAGGCAACTGCCTTGGCTGCCTTCCTGAAAATACGTGCATGGAAAAGTGCGGAAAATAATCAGTGCCACATTTACAAAATAGAATTCGGCAACGGAAATAGTGGAATAAAGTTGCAATTTAATAGGTATATTTTGAAATTTTTTTAGTATCAAATTGGAACATGTTTTACATCATTTAGTCAATAAATTAGCATGGGTCTATCGTATCAAAGATATGGAAAATTTACACTGAGATGAAAAGTTACACCTCGTTTTAATTTTATTGCGATGAATTTCAAAAGGAGGCTCCTTCAATCAGTAAGTAGGCAATACCCGCAAAACCACGATGCAGTAGTAAAAATTCCACCAATGGCACTTAAATGCAACTTGTGCATCCTTGGTTAGAACTACTGGGAAATGTTTAGTTAATCAAACCCTCATATGCACAATGTAACCTCGAATATCAACTCTGCCTTTTTGAGGTAAAATGCTGTATGAAAAGATGCTGGCAAATTTCTATCGATGAAACAAGAATTTTTGAAAAAAGAAAGAAAGAAAGAAAACCTGCGAAAAGTTTTATTTCAATTTTTCAAAGAATTTTATTTGCATTTCTTAAGCGGTCATCTGAATATTTCAGTGTATCTCGGGAAATTGGACAACGTTTGAATGATCATAAATCGTTTCACCTTGATACGACAAAAATGAGGAGAGTTTAGCGAAAAAAGATCCAGCTTTTAAGGGGGAAATGGGTCGCTCGTCGAAAAGGCTGGCAGAATTTCACTTTAAAGAACTTATCGCCAGCGAAAGTGCAAAACCATGTGGATCTTCATTGCAGTGTTTCAAAATATCCGCTCCTATTTTATTTTTTCGTAGAGAAACGAGCCGATTTTACAGCTAGAAATTTATACAGTATATTCTGGCGACAGATTAAGAAAATCAAGGCAGTTTTCAAGGAATTACTATTTAAGGAATTGACTATTTTTTCAGAAAAATAATGAAGTTTGACATGAAGTCTGCAATGTCGCAAATGGAGATACGTGTTTCACACTTTGGCCATCGATATTTAGTGTTGTCATTTTCCATTTTAACGATGTGAGGGCTATTTTTTCTTGATTGGTAGAAAGAGAATTAAATTCGACCGAAAAAGATACACTGTATGGTCTTTTTCGTTTGTTGATCCCTCTCTGTTTAATGAAAAATTACCTCAAATTTAGCACGTATTTGTATCACAAAACAAGGACGCAAGTCATGCAACCATACCTCAAGCTAAAATAGTAGCGTGCAAGCAAAGGGAATATGAAAAAAAAAAAAAAAAAAAAAAAAAAAAAAAACAGATAATTGATTTGAAGGTAAGATTAAAGGACGGGAAAACATTAAATAGTAATTATGCTTTTTAGTTTATCTTTTCTTCCGCTAAAATTTTGTTTTTTACATTTTTCAGTGGGGTAATTTGTCGAGTTGGGTTGACACATCGAATTTTGAAAATTCAAAAATTCCCTGGTATAAATTGGCGATAGGAGCTGCGTTTCAAAATACCATAGGAGTTCTTATAGCCGACTAAAGAAGGCTATTGAAAATCATAAAGCTGGCTATAGAAAGCGGAGCAAATCATATAGCCGGGTTATACGAAGCTATAAAAAAGTATACAGTCGGGCTATAGTTCCTATCGCCGGCTTTACACTTTATCGCCATTGACTATAAAAGTCTATAAGAAATCGTGTAGAAATTCGTGTGCTTTGGAAATCATTAAGTTTGATACGGACCTACCTTAATATTTACAAAACGCACATTATATTTTCCTTTAAAACATATTTTTTTTTCATCAATTAAAATGAGAATAGTCCATACAGAGTGTTCAAACATTTCAAAATCATGAGTTGAAAAACGCTGACTCCGCGAGATTAAATATTACAGCCTAACACAAAGCGGAGCGGCGACGCACTGGCGCCTACAAACCTAACAGAGATACTTCACGCATTGCGCAATGCGTGAAGTATCCCTGTTAGGTTTGTAGGCGCCAGTGCGCGTTTCGCACTCTCTGCCCGCCCGCCGAGCCGCAGCGTGCCACGGCGTCTGAAGCAACTATTTCACACCAGATATTTGCACAGTATCATAAGAAATTGAAGGCGCTCCAACATCTTAAGAATGACAGGCATCCTTCAAAAGTACGGAGCTTTCCTCGCAAAATAAATCAAGATACTACGGCACAAAAAGAGATCGGCAGTCCAAAAACTAACTAAGTCCTGGTATCCGTTTTTAGTAACGTTTATAAACTTTATCGTCTGGCTGTTGCTTAGTCGCCATCGGCTATAAAAGGCTATAAGAAATTGTACAGCCGGCTACAAAAGCTATTGGAAATCTTACAGCCGGCTTTAGGTCTATGGTATTTTGGAACACAGATTCTACTGCCAATTTTTACCAGGGCTCACCTGGTGCGCGGGGCCCAGCCACCCTAAATCCTGCACTGACTCTAAGCATGGGAGATTAGAATCTTAAGAAGCTTTTGCTTTTTTAGAGCGTTTATTTTTTTCAACTGTAAATTCCACGGTATCGTATATTTGGTTTGGTTTGACATTTTCGGGCGATTTGTTCGGCGAAAATTACTCGTTTTAATTTCTAAGTATAGGTATCCGTAACTCAATTTTTAGTTTTTCTGGACTGAGGTTGTCGTGTGGTCCATGTGAGGGAACAAATAGTGCACAAGGGCTTATGCTCTTGTTAAGAAAAGAAAAAGAAGGAGAAGAAAAAGAGGAGGAGAAAATGAAGAGGAGAAAAAGAAGAGGAGAAAAAAAGATAGGGAAAGGGAGAGGAGAAAAAGGAGAGGAGAAAAAAGAGAAGAGAAGGCAGAGGAGAAAAAGGAGAGGAGAAAATGAAGAGGAGAAAAAGAGGAGGAGAAAAAGAAGAGGAAAAAAGAAGAGGAGAAAAAGAAGAGGAGAAAAGGAAGAGGAGAAAAGGAAGAGGGGAAAAAGAAGAGGAAAAAAGAAGAGGAGAAAAGTGAGACGGAAAAAGAAGAGAAGAAAAGGAAGAGGGGAAAAAGAAGAGGAAAAAAAGAAGAGGAGAAAAGGAAGAGGGAAAAAGAAGAGGAGAAAAGAAGAGGAGGAAATGAAGAGGAGGTAAAGAAGAGGAGAAAGAGAAGAGGTGAAAAGGAGGGGAGAAAAAGAGGAGAAGAAGAAGAGGAGAAGAAGAAGAGGAAAAGAAGAAGCCTAGAGGAGAAAAAGAAGAGGAGAAAAAGAAGTGGAGAAAAAGAAAAGGAGGGTCTCTTTT